TAAAACGAAAGAAAAAAAAAAGAACACGTACCATTGGCTCCGAGAGACGCAGTTCCTGGGCGAGCTGGCTCCCCTGCAGCGGTCCTGGCCTGTCCGTCCGCTCTGGCGGGGGGCTAAAGAAATTGCGGATAAACGACTTTGCAGCAGACGGGTCGGACGTCGGTCTGAACGGGAGGAGTAGAAAGGGAATATCGAGGGCTGCCAATGGACATTGTGTGGTCAGTACAAGCTGGTTCATACAAACGCATTATCTAGATAAAGAGAACGGGGAGAGGAGAGATAGATACCCCTATCTTTGAGCTCAGAGGTGCATCCGAGCAGCAGGTCGACGACCTCCTCCGGCTCGACCTCTGTCCTGAGCCATGCGTCGGTCCATTTGGGCTTCTCTGGCTCAAGCGGGAGCCCGTTGAGCCTGCCAGACTTCTTCGAAGGGTCCTTGGAGCGGAAGACGCGCGAAAAGAAAGGCATCCTGCATGCCGTAGCGGTAGTAAAACTCCTAGGGGGGAGGAGGGGGGGACCCTGTTCGGAACGAGAGAAATTGGCGGGTAAACAAAAAGCACGACGGCGAAACAAACGAGCGTAAGAAGGGGAAGCGAGCGACCACTCGGAGAAAATACAGGCAGAAGAGGTGAGGGAGGAAAAGAGAGAGAGAGAAGGAGAGGGAGAGAGGGAGAAGAGAAGAGAAGAGACGGACAGGAAGAGGAAGAAAATCCGCTGGTGGTGATGGCCCACTGGACGTGCTGCAGGACTCAGGGGTAACGAAGGAGAAAAAAAAGACAGCCAGTCCTTAGGAGGAACCCGTCGAGGAAAAAGCAAGGAGCGGGACCAGTCACATCCAGGCCGTTTCGCTGGCTGCTCGCCCACGCCAGCCGCCTCACCACCTTTTCCTGCGTCTTTGACTTGATAATATACTCCCTGATGATGGAATCGCCGTCTGTTTACTCTGTTTACGCTCGCTTTTGCACGCCTTTGCGAGCGTCGACGTCGAATTAAGGGGAGCCGGCGTGGAAGTACGAGCCGCACCCCTGACCTTAATTCTTACTGCCACGGCGCGCGCGGCCCGTCGCTGAGTCAGCGGCCTTAAGTCGACGTCCTGCTGAGTCAGCGTCTTGCTGCCACGGCCTTTTTCTATCTTTAGCAACTTTTTTTCTTCTTCGTCTTTTTATAGAAATTTCTCACTTTTCTATGTTTAGAATAACACAAACAACCAAGCACGGCGACGCCAACATCTCGAACCCTCGATCTATAGCCAGCGAACGCTCCCAGCAGGCGACGGCTCCTTCGACGGCGAACGGGCGGGCTCGACAGCCGAGACACGCACGCGGGCGCGGGGACCGGCCAGGCACCGCGACTGAAGCGACAGAGACGACGGCGACAGCAGGCAGACGCGGACGGGAGGGCATGAACTGTTGGCCATGGGCCGCCGCAAGATCGAGATCAAGGCCATCAAGGACGATCGCAACCGCTCCGTCACCTTTCTCAAGCGCAAGGGCGGCCTCTTCAAGAAGGCCCATGAGCTCTCCGTCCTCTGCTCGGTCGACGTTACTGTGATCATCTTCGGCCACAACAAGAAGCTGTACGAGTTCTCCTCCGCCGACATCCAGGAAACCCTCGGCAGATACCAATACGTGCGTCCCTCCCTTTTTTTTTTTTTTTATTATTTATTATTTTTATTTTTTATTTATTTTTTTATTATTTTTGTTGTATGTGATGCTAACGAACGTCTAGTATGGACAACCGCACGAGCACAAGGGGCCGGCCGACTTTCTCGGTAAGGGCGCGCTCGACGACGATGAAGACGAGGAGTCGCCCGCGCCAGACGACCAGCAGCAGATGGGCCCTGTCTACCACCCGCCGCCGCCACCGCAGCAGCAGCAACACCAGCATCAACAGCCGCACCCGCATCCGCAGCACATCAAGCAGCCTCCGTCCGTCTCCCCTCCGATAGACGGGCCTCATGCGCCCCCCGGACAGGCGCCCTCGCGGCCATCGTCGCGCAACCATGTCCAGCGGATGGCCATGCACCCGCAACACCACCCTCAGCAGCAACATCAACACGGCACTCCCCCTCCAGCGCCGACAGCCGGTGCGCAAAACGGATTCTACATGCAGAACTACCCGCAGGCGCCGCCGCAACAGCAACAGCAGCAGCAGCAGCAGCAGCAGCAGCAGATACCACGGCAGCACCCGCAGTACTATTCGCACCAGCCACTGCCACCGCCTCAGCACCACCACCAGCAGCCGCACCACCAGCACCCGGCAATGGCCCAGCAGTACATCCCGGATAACAGGCGGCAATCCATGCCCCCTGCCCCGGCTTTCCAGGAACAGCATCACCCGCCACAACACCCGCAACAACCTCAACAGCAGATCAAAGTGGACCGGAGTCCGCCGCCGCAGCCCAAGCCCATGCCCACCAAGTCACGATCCATCTTCACCCCCATAGACGATCGTGGTTCGGTCCTGGCACAGCACTTTGGCTTCGGCCCGTCAGCAGAGTCGCCCAAGAAGGAACCCAGACAGCCTCCCAAGCAGCAACAGCAACAACAACAGCCACCACCACCACAAGTCCAAGCACAACCACCCCAGCAGATACCCCATAGAACATCAGTCTCTTCCATCCCGCCGCCCTCGAGGACAAACAGCATCCAGTCAAATATCAAACGGCCCATTCTCAAGGTCCAGATCCCCAGCGAGACGTCGGACGCAGGCAGCATCACTGCCGGATCCTCGCCTGCGACGGGAACTAACCCTGCTCCCGCTGTTGGTGGTGGTGGTGCTGCCGGCGCCGCATCAACCTCCACCGGACCTGGCGGACCGCCTACAACAAGCAAGCCCGCAGAAGCAAGCCACTCAGCCGTCGTCCTACCGCCGCCATCCCCTTCGGCATCTGCCTTACTCAGTGCCGGTGCCCATGGCCCGCCTAACCCCTTTGCCCGCCCCCCTCCACCAGCATCAAACAGCCAGCCATCCAACAACGGGGGCAGCACCAACAACAACAACAACGGCAACAACATTGATACCCCCATCTCTGCCTTACCCAGTCGCTTTGTGTCCGATACCCTACTGCCGTCTCCGTCCAGCTTCTATCCTGAATGGGGCTTTGGCCGCTCCGGCCCCGATAGCAACATGCTTCCTAGCCCGCTGACTTTCTCAACGCCTGTCCTGCAGAACCCTTCTCAGCCGTTCGCCAGCAGCAGCGGCGGCTCCAATGCCAATGTGCATGGTAACGCTGGTGCCCATGGCAACGTGCGAGACGACGAGTCGGACCGGAAGAGAAAGGAGCCTGAGTCTAGCAGCGAGACGGCCGTTGACAAGAGGCTCAAAGTCGAGTAGCCCCCTTTACTTCCCACTTCTTCCCTTCCCTTTCCATTCCTTTTCATCTCTAGTCTTCTATTCTTGTTCGTATTTATATATGTCTCTCTTATCTATCTTTCTGTCCGCCAGCCCATCTTTCTTACAGTAGTAATTTCCTTCTTCCCTGTCTTTCCCTGTCTCTATCTCTCTATATCTCTGTCTACCGGCGCATGGCATGGTACGCGGTTAGTGGTAGTCTAGGTCGGCGGTCAATCATCAGAATTTCTATCTCTCTTCTCTCATCATCTAAACATCATCGTCTAAATACTGTCTATATCATCGTCTAAATATTTGTCTAAATATCAAAATCTACCTTCGATTAGCTAAAAATAGCCAAGACTCTAAACTCAAAAGCTGAATCACATGACTAGGGCTCGCTAACATCCGCTTTAGGCTTAGCGCAGCCCAAGACACAAACTTTCACAAAAACTTCAAGAAAAGGAAAAAAGTCGAAGCGACGAAGACGAAGACGAAGACGAAGAAAGACAGCGACGACGAACACCTCAGGGGAAACGACTTGGACTTCGACTTGGAACTCATACGCCTTCTTCGGTCGCGGACACAGTCGTCAAGATGCCTTCCGATCACGGTCACAGATGTGAGTACTCCCGATGCGACTGACGTTGATCCTGATGTTGTTGATGTTGGAGATCGAGATCGAGATGATGGAGATGAAGATGATGCTGACTGACTTGTGTAGTATATGTCAAGTAAGCGCCTACCCTGTCCCTGTGATGTGAATTGAGAGGAGAAGCGGAAGAGCTGGATCCGAAGAGGTGGAATATCATGCGATTGAAGGTGTGATGTTGGACCAAGAGATATATGGTTGAATATGTGATGGCGGTGGACGAATGCATGAATCTGGAGTGCGAGAATGGAGACGGATTGGACTGCAGAAGATACCAGTTCTACAATGGATGGAAATGCTGATTGTGTGTGCTGTTTAGGGGTCGACACCTGAGCTACCAGCGTGGAAAGCGCGTCACCAACCCCAACACAAGGTATGCCCTTGATACCAGCTGCAGACGGTACCGGACATGAAGATAACTAACAGTGTACAGTCTCATCAAGCTCGAGGGCGTTGAGGACTCCAAGGCCGCTACGTATGTCTTCCATCTATGAACCTGGTGTGATACATGCCCAGGCCAGGATACACGTTCTCTAACGTATTATACCAGTTTCTACTCCGGCAAGAAGGTCGCTTTCGTCTACAGAGCCAAGCGTGAGGTCAGAGGGTCAAAGATCAGAGTCATCTGGGGCAAAGTCACCCGGCCACACGGTATGTTCAAACACGACTTCCAACATGAAGAACAGAAGAACGGCTGTGTTTTGGATACTGACGGTTGACAGGAAACTCTGGTGTTGTCCGTGCCCAGTTCCGACACAATCTACCCCCCAAGTCGTTCGGTGCATCCGTCAGAGTCATGCTTTACCCATCTTCCATCTAGATGCGCGATGTTGGTGGTGGTGGATGTCGAGAGGAGTGCGAGGAGACGAGTTGCAGAGACGAGCCACTCGACCGGCTGACGGACGACCCGACCCGACTCGAAGCTGAAGAGACGAGCCTCGCGCGTGCATTGAGAGCCTGCTGACGGACGCTGTCTTTCTCTTCTTTTTTTCCCCTTTCATTCTTAAGTATACGACTACAAATAATGGCGGGAGGACGGTCTGTCTGGCCTCGCTGCTGCCTGCGGTGGTGCTCCTGGTCCGCGTCTGTCTGTCTGTGTCGGTAGACCGAAGAGCTCGCTGTCTCTGCCGGCGTTACGATAAATCAAAAATAAATAAATAAATACCACTTCGTCCACCAACTGTCTGTCTGTCTGTCTGTCTGTATCAACTGTAACCGTCAAGCGTAGAGGCAGCGCCGGCGATGATGTCAGCGCTGCGTGGCTGGTGGAGTTTTGCCCCAGCGACGATCCCGGCAGGCCAGCGAGAGAGAGACATCCAAAGCAGCGCATCCTGGCCCGCCAACGCATAGCTAAAGTCACCTAAGTTAACGAACGGACTAGCAAGCAAGCAAGCAAGCTGCCCAGCCACTCCGAGACATCTTCGTATCCTTTTTTTTGCTTCTTCTCCGCTGCCGTCTGGCTGTCTGGCCGTCTCGCTGGCCGTCTCTCGCTGGCTGTCAAGTCTGCCTGCTTACACAGCGTCCTTGGTACAACGCGCCACCTTTTCACGGCCTTCTGCTTGTTCTGCTTCTTCTTCTTCTTCTTCTTCAGCCTCTGCTCGCTATCTTCTCTCTGTCGCTTCATCGTCGTCGTCTAGAACTGTGCTCGCCTCGTTATCCGTTGTGCGCTCGACAGTGCTGTCCCTGATCTGCTCTGTATAGTTAATCGCCATGCCAGACCAGAAAGCCGGCAAGCTCGGGCGAGTCCTCAGCTTCGCCAGCAGCAAGTCGAGGAAGTCTGCCTCCAACCAGCAGCAGCCGCTGAGCCCGCAGAAGACCTCGAGCTCGTCGCAGCAGCAGCCGAGAAGCCCCGGCCAGCGCCAGTATGGCCACGCGAGGAACAATACCGACCTGTCGGACAAGAGCGCAGACCGGCCGGGCAGCAACAAGATGCGCACCCACGCCGACCCCACGCTCGCCATGAGCGAAGCACAGCCTGGTTAGTCCCTCTACACTACTGTATCTGTGTCCTGGCAGCCAATGCTGACGGTTGTAGCTGCAATTGCGCTGGAGGAGTCGAGTCTCGGACAGCTGCGAGGCATCCAGCACAAGGACCGCTTCGGCAACCCCATCAGTGAGTGTCCATATATACACACCATTATCAATTGAGACTTCGCTGGCTAACAAGACGTAGCGGAGCCGGACCTGTCGAACCCCACGAGGTATCGCTTTGAGCGGCCGCTGGACACTATCAGATCGTTCGAGGCTGCTATCGACGGCACTTACGGCAGTCGGCGCATGTCATACGCCCGGCCAGGTTGGTCCACCACAGCAGCCACTACGACCCGGACTAGTTATTATTACAGCTCCAGCTAACATCCACCGCCCCCCCCTCCAGATGAGAGTACCAATGGCCACAGCAGGCCGACAAGCTTCTTTGGAGGTGGTACGTCATCGTTCCTGCATCTGCCCGTCTTTGTCGTTTGGGCTGCCAATATCTAGATCTACAACACCCATACTAACCATGTTTCAGATCGGTCGAATGGCCAGTACTACCAACGAGGTGGCTACGACAGCTACTCGGTCTCCCGTGGCTACCAGTCAAGGCCAGAAAGCTACGTCGATGCGTACGGCAACGGCTACGGTTCGGCCGTGGACATGAGCCAGTACAACTACAGCAACCAACGTCCTGCTCGAGCCGGACCTCCCCGCCAGGCTCCTCCACCTCGCACTAACTCAGACCCTAACTATGCCTACAGCTCTTACCCAACACACTACCCCAGCAATGCCAACTCTTACTACCCCCAGCCGCAGTACCAGGGCCAGCAGGACAACCCGAACTCCAACTCTCCCTCGGGCTCCGGCGGTAGATCCGTGGACCACTGGGTAAACTCAACAGATCCGAGCTCTGTCAACAGTTCCATGGATAGGTTGGCGCAGCAGCACCAACAACAACAACATCCCCAAGGCCAGAAGTATGATGACCAGCCTGCGGAGTCATATGGGTTCGCTGGCTTCGGCACTGATCCACAGCTAGAACAGTCCCAGCAGTCCCAGCAGCTCATGAATCCCGGCCAGGAGAATATCTACAGTTCGCCTCCTCAGCAGCAAATAAGACAACAGTACCAGGCTCCCCCTCCCGTTCCCCGGAAGGAAGTTCCCGTTTCTGTTCCTCCCCCGGCTGTGACAGGGGCAACACTGCAGGAAGGTAAACGCAAAAGCTGGTTCAAGCGCCGGATTAGCAGGACTTGATCCGGCCATGTACGATTAAAAAGAAAAAACAAAGCGAAAAGCCTACGCATTTACTTTTTCTTTCCTTTCCTCTTAACTATCAAGGTTAGAGAAAAAGAAAGATTTACTTTGCTGTTTACTCTTCGGTCGATGGGACGGCCCAGGATTACTACCAAGGATGTGCCATTGAATTGTTCCCGTTTGTCTATTCACTTACTCACTGGACCCATATTTGATGATACCACGACCCCCAACTCTACCGTTTGATTGTTTCCTTTGTTCTACCGCTCTGGCAAACGATATATCTCTATTAATCCCTTCAGCTTCAACTTCAACGTGAACCCTCGTTTGATTTCTCTGTTTATATCTTGTGATCTACGGCAGTCGGTTTTTTTTTTCTGTTGGTAGTTTTATGGTACGGGTACGGTACGATATGGATATGGATATGGATATGGGTGGATGGAATGCAATGGGGGTGGAACGGAAAGACGGCGACGCAACTGGATTTCGTGCTGATTTGATACCTTGACCTTTCCCCCCTTTTTTTTTCTCATTTTTCGCCTTCCTTTGAATTTAATTGATCAGGCCTGGTGTACGCTCTGCTCCTGTAAATATTTTACTTCAAGAATGAATACCAGCCCTGCAGTCTCCGGTTCTCTATTATCAAACATCAAGCATCTGCATTGCTATATAACCATGACTTATAGAGTATTACCCAAACAAACACAGTATTATCTTATCTATCCTTCTTGAACTCGCCTGCAGCCTTCCTCTCGATCTCGTTGTCCTCTCGAATGGCAAATATGATGTACACGATCAACACCACGTTTGCTGCTCCCGCCGCTGCTGCGCCCGCATACGTAGTGTTGCCTACACCCATCAGTTAGCAAGGCCATGAGTAGAACAAGCAAGCCTAAATCAAATTGTAATTTGCTTACCGTCGAATACCCTGTCGACGGTCCCGTAGTATGTCCCGAGAGGGCAGCACACGATCATCACCGAGTAGAGTATGAACTTCCATAGAACGCCACTGCATCGCAACCATTTAACCAGTTAGCTACCTTCCGAGTACAAACAGATCTCACAAAGAGCCGGAAGGATAATCATACCCGGGGAGAGATCTTAGCTCAGTACCGGCTGGCTGCGAGGGTGCCGGCTTTGGTGTTGATATCTCGGACTGCGTCTCCTTCGCGGCCCCGCGGCGCGTAGCCATCTTGCTTTTTTCTGCTTATTTGGTAGTAGCTGTGCGAGTGAACGGCGAGGATGATGCCTTTGGCAGTCGGCGGGAATATATCGAGGAGACTGGCGTGCGATGGGGGTGTTTTGAGCCTTGTGTCGCGGAGTTCTGGGATATCTGGACTCTTTGGCGAGCTCTGGGGAGGTTCAAGCTAAGTTCGAGTTCGAAGTCGAGACCCCCGGATATTTAGTTAACTAGCTTAGCCTATCAACTGGCGACGGACTTCGTAACTGACCATTTAAATGTACGAACGGCCAACCAGCCTGGTCCGCGTTGGTTGCAAGGATGGAGGTTGATATTTTCCAGGGGTCAACTTAGCTGCTTCATACTCTACGTATTCAAAATATTCAACAATTGGCCGACTAGGTAGTTATATATATCCATAGCTTTAGCTATGACGATATTTACATGGATATCAAGTATCAAGACCAGCCAGTAGGAGCTAGAAAAATACTGCATTATGCTACTTTCTCTTGGGCTTTTATTCCCAACTTGCTTTTAAGAGCTGCCACTCTCCCCAGTAGAAGTGCTTTGATATTCCTACGAGGTGCCTCCTCGAGGGTAACAAACCGACGGATTATCACATTGAATATATTCCCAAATGCGAGGGCGATAACTGTACTTGTCAGGATGATGACATTGTATGGCATGCTGAAGTCGGGCGTTGGAAGCGGTAGAAGAAGATTGGTGGTGCGTAGATAGACGGGAGGCGCCATTATCGACTCGTTTCTGTTTAGAACACGGACGATGGCGGGAGCAACATTGAAGCCTCGGTTGGCATCTGGTGGGTATTCCGTGTACCGAAGGATGGCCTTCTCGAACTCATACACCAGGGTGACTGTCGAGGCTGGAGGGACAGACAAGACGAGCTCCAACTGCGTGCCACGACGACGGTCAATAGCAGGCCGGTAAAAGATGTCCTTGATAATGTCAGAGAGCGGTACTTCGACTGCAGGTTCTGAACCATAACTGATCTTTGTCTTCATCGTGTGCAAAAATGGGCGCATGAACCAGGGGAGAGTTTCAAAGTAGACGAAGTTAGCTGTGTCGGTTTGCGAAGGGTTGGTCAAAATAGACCTGAGTCCTCCTCGTTCTTGGCCGTGGCCGATTATGGTCCTTTCCAAGTGCACAACTTGGGCCTCCAAGGAGCTGCTACTGGAGTGTTGCGCGGGGACGACCAGATTGAAAGGCTGGTTGGGATGCAGAGAATAACAGCGCGAATTGCCGTCTGACGCACGCGTTTCTACTGCGTCAGAGCCCGGTAGTACCTCCATGCTATCGGGGACCTTGATACAGACAGTTTGCGCGTCATCCCGACCGAGAGGGCAGCTGGAGGGTATCGTTCGCCCGAAGACGTCTTCAATGCTCCATGTCTGCGACCGGGATGCCCCAATAGGGTAACAAAAGTCTCCGGAGTGATAGGGTTTGGATTCGTCACAAATCAAGTCCGCAGCAGGAACAGGACGAGGAATAGGGTTGTCTCTGGGCCGCTTTGATCTATCCAGATCCAAGACCATGTCCACGGTTTGCTCAATCTCGACATGGCATATTTCAGAATTGTCCTCCGCACAAGCCGGCCTAACATCAACGGACATAGTCTGCCACGACGCATCAAAGAGCTTGTGGCCGTCAAAGAGTCCGGATATGCCACTTTTACCTTTACATGGCAGAAGCTTCAGAAAGGGCGTCAAGTTCTCGGTGCACACAACCTCACCCGGCAGCGTGCCATGGAGAAGATGTAGTCCGTCATGCGGTATAGTTCCAGTGGGGGTAAAAGTAAGAGAAGGGGTCGTGGTCCGTGTCGAGTCAATGAAATTCATAGATGCACAGAATAGTCCAGATAGCGACTGCGTGAGCGAAATCCACTTTTTGAATGCTCTAGAATAAATATGCTGTATTAGCCATCTATTTCAAATATTGACTGCTTCAACATTATCATACGCATCAGCGTCCTGCGCCTCAATCCACGCCCAGAGCTCTACTCCAGTGCCTCCCTCCTTAAAGCCATGCCAGGGTCTTTCTCCCCAGTTCTCCGCATCCCATCGTCCGGTGGTAAATCGCAGATGCAATTCTTTCGTATGTGTATGCTGTAGGATCTGGCCTAGAGAACGGGGGAAATAGCGGTAGTTCTGCTGTTCGAACGCAGCACTGGACTCATTGCTGCGGAAGTTGAAGGACGCCAGCAGGTTTGATGGCGGTAGTGGGTGAAGCACCAGCTGCTCATGATAGTCGATGGTATTGGCGGCGGCGAGCAGGGCTGAGACTACCAGTGTCCAGAGCAGCGAATGCAGGGAGGACATCATATCGAGGGAGCGAAATGAAAAAGGGTTGTCACTCCCAGCCAGTTCGCACCATCCCTGACCTCCAGCTTGATCCCGTCTTCTTTGTATCGTCTGCGTCTGCCTCGTCTCGTCTTCGTCTTGGTCTCCTTTTTGCGGGTGTTTCTTTGCTTTTTGATGCCAGTATAAATAAACGCGCGCCTAATAACTAGGTTAATTATTGATTATGTAATACTAGCGGCTAATGAGAGTCTCTTTTCTTGCTTTTGCGCAAAAGTTGAACAACGTCTTGTCTTATGGAGACAAGGAGGAAGATATAAGATCGAAGTCTCACGGAGTGATCTGTATAGAGACAGTTTATTTGAGCAAGCTGCATTGACTATTATCTACCAATTGGCACCGTCTCTGGTTTGCGCCTCCACAACTCACAATGGCTGCAGAGCAGCGGAAGCTCTTGGAGCAGCTCATGGGAGGTAAGTGTTTTCTGCATCTAACCACATCAAACTAAAAGCGCTGCATAAACTAACTTGTTGCGTCTCTCAAGCTGATCAGTTGGTTGGGGGACCTAGTTCTGGTCGAAACGCGCAAGTTGCGATCACCGACCCGAAAGTCTGCCGCTCTTATCTCGCTGGTACATGTCCCCACGACCTCTTCACCAACACGAAGCAAGACCTAGGACCCTGTCCAAAATTGCACAGCGAAGGCTTGAAAGCTGAATATGATGCTGCATCGTCACACGAAAAGGCTAAATGGGGGTTCGAGTACGACTACTTGCGAGATATGCAGAAATACATCGATGAATGTAACAGGAGGATAGATTCGGCACAACGCCGTCTTGAGAAGACGCCAGATGAAATACGGCAAACAAACCATTTGGTAACTATTGTCACTCCGTTAGTGTCCTCACAATTCAGTCTGCTAATGTGAAATGAACCAAATCAATAGTTGTCGCAAATATCAGATCTGAACAAAACCATCAACGCTGGACTCGAGGAAACGTCCGTTCTCGGTGAACTTGGAGCAGTTGCTACTGCTATTGACGAATTCTACAAAGTACGAACCGCTAAGCACCAGAAGGAGTCTCTCGAACGAGACCTTAAGGCCCTCGCAGATACATCTGGTCCTTCAGGGCATCAGAAATTGCAGGTTTGTGATGTGTGCGGAGCGTATCTCAGCCGACTAGATAATGACCGTCGCCTTGCCGACCATTTCTTCGGGAAAATGCATTTGGGATATGCGAAAATGAGGGAGACCTACAGTATTTTGCAGAAAGAGATGAAGGGGCAGCCTCCGTCTAGGCATGATGACGGTCCATCTGGTCGCGGTGATGCTGGCTTTGATGACGCTGGCTGGGGCCGAGATGGCGGCGGTGGATATGGCGGTCGTTCCTACAGAGGTAGTGGAGGTGGCCATAGAAGAAAAGGAGGCGGTGGTGGTTACAACAGATGGTGATCAACTTGCCAATTCTGTTAATTTCATCTGCAAAGCGCCGGCGTTGCTAGTTTTTTAGGTTCCAAAAGATAGCTGATACTAGTACCGATTAACGTACATCGACCTGTAAATCGTTCTATCTTTTAGTTCCCTATCCTCCTCTGTTTCGGAAGCTCTTCTTGTTGAGCACTCGTCCATATGGAGGCATTGTCTACGAAAATATAGTGTGACAACATTAAATAGTCGACGTTAATACAATTTTCTCAATAAACCTTGATGTTAGCGTCACCAGACAGAATTGCAATTGCAAAGGTAATAGAATCATACAAGATATGCCACAGTTCTCCAATAAATCAAACACCACTCAAACATGGCCCATGGCATAGGATAGAGACAAAGAAAAGTACAAACAAAATACCACCCATACGCCACACTTCCATGGATAATTTTCAGTGCTCGGGATCTTCCAAAGATGTTAGAGGCACGCCTTTGTCGTTTTTGTGGAGAAGAGCAAATAAGGGTAAAAGAGAAATTACACACACATATGTACACGAATACAGGTATTGAAATAAGCGTATCTCGGGGAGAACGGTTCACTCAAAACAGAAAAATAATCGAGAGGTATGTTCAACACAAGTATGTTCAACACAAATACTACTCGGTAATAATATTGGTTGTCCGGGCTTAAAGGATTGAGACAAGCTGTTAACTTTGTGGGTAGGAAAAGCACCAACTCGCTGATTGCGGGTAGAACTTGCGTAGAGAGCATAACTGGGTATCAATGAGCACAACCAAATGCCTTTTAACTCGACTGTGTGCCATTTGTTGTTTGTAAAATCGCACCCATTAGCAGTTGGAGGTTATTTGCGGCCTGTGGATTCTGTCTCAAAATGCCTGCTATTACATTGAGCTGCTCGACACTCGCATTAGGCGCTCTCTGCAACAGCTCCTGGATAGCGGGAGCCGCAGCTAATGGTCCAAGCACGTGAATGGCTGCCTGCTGCCCAGTGAGAGCTTGATTAGGCGACGGGGCGTTGGTGGAACCGTTGTTGAATTGTCCTTGTTGGGGATTAGGACCTTGGGCAAGGGTGTTCCCCTGAGCGTGGCCTAGCCCTGCGGGATCGACTGGGTTGTACTCATTATCCACTTGCAAAGGACTGGCAGCACTTCTGGAAGGGGCCTGGGGGGTTGTATGGGAGGGTGTAGACTGGTTGAAGTTGGTTTTGACAACAAGAACAAAGAGGAGAAGGCGAGTTGGTGTCGGGTCTTGGACTTGGTTGTTCTCGAGTAGTTCAATAAAGTCGGGTTTCTTGCTGTGACCAGCCTCCACGGGCACTAGGTAGGCATCCTTGACCGCAGGAAGAGGATGTTTTCCGACCACTCCGTACCTTTTGCGGTCCATGAAATAATTGAACAATCTATTGAACTGTACGGCATCGTCGGCTGCATGGGGCTGCTCAAGGGCCACCACTGAAATATCCGTAGTATGGCTATATCTTAATCCGCAAAGGTAATTACTTGCCAATTGGACATCGATGCGACCATCCACTGTAATTCTTGGAGGGACAAGTTGTGACCAGGGAATCTTTGCACTGAGGTCCGCGCCACCGACATGCCTCCCGGCAGTACGAAATTCTGCTACAGAGCTCATAGACACAGAACCGTGCCAAATGTCTCCATCGTCCTGAATGTCCTTGGGAGAGTAAGGAGGGGAATCAGCTTCGTCCCTTAATAAGTTGTCAATCTCTGCGTCCTCCTGGACTTTGTTCATGGGGTGTGGAGGCTCATTGAATGAGGATCCCGGGCCGAATTGCTGTTCCGAGTGAGAGGCGCCAGGAGAATGGACGCTGGACCAAACATTCTCAATATTGAAATTGGAAGAGTTTCGACGATTGGTATCAGAAGTTTCGCGCGCAGTCCGATCTGCATGTGGTTGACCATGGGCAGCAGTTGGGCTGGCATGTCGCGGGCTCTTGGCGGATGGTAGCTCACTTTCGGTGGCAGTGTCCCGACGAGCTGGTGCGGTAGAGAAGACGGATTCGGTGCCAATGGTCTGTGGATCGGACTCTACCAGCTCTTCTCCTTTATGGGTCCGTCTGATACGAGGCCCCTGCTCCTGGATGATAGTATGCTGTCTCTCAGCCTCCCGCTTGATCTCTTCATCTTTTTCACGCAGTTCTTGGCTGGCCATGTTCTGTGTGCTCATTGTCGATATAGCATCTGGTGTTGTACGGCCTACAAGCAGACTATCACGTAACGAAGGATTTTTCCTTACATTGAACAGGATGGTCCGCAGTTGGTTTTTATAGGCATCATTAGGCTCCCCGGCTGACCCACAAAGATTCCTGTACATACAATCTTCTATTTCTGTTCCGAGCCTTTCACCGACAGCCTCTTTTGTGCTGTCAGATGGGATAGTGAAGGTCCCAGCAGCCACTGCAGTACCGGCAATCTCGGTGACCAGCTTGGACAAAGCGGTTGCGGCGCTTCTCCTGGCTACAATCAGGTGATCGGTCCCAGCTGTAGACCCAGACCGAGATTTCAAATTGGGGCCCTGGCTAGGAGTCATTGGGCTTGTGGCACTTTGCCTTGCACTTTGCATTCCACTCTGAACAGGTGAGGATGATGCTGGGAGGTTTGTAGACAGCTTTTGAAGTTTCTGTCTCGAACCCTGCTTAGGGTTTTGTTATGGTAAGCTTGTATATAAGGGAAAAAGGGGGACAGATATAGGTGAACTTACGGATTCCTGCGTAATACTCTCCTCTCGTTCCTCATGTTTGCGTTTATGGGCACCGACGTCCTCATGATGAAGAGGCACAGCTACTTCAATATTGTGCTGCATTGGGGGCGACTGTTTGTCACCCTTGGCCATAATTGGAGTATCGCTATGCTCTGGTTTGACGTCACTTTGCCTAGCCTTCTTTCCTCGTTTCCCACCCTTCTTTTTGCGAGATTTCCTCTCTTCCGCCTCTTGTGCTCTTTTTGCTGCCGCTTCTTCCCATGGTTTCTCACCCCTACTTATCTTGTCCAACAACTCCCTATGATTCTCTGGTTTGCACCGCTCGCAAAAATATTCAGCTGGCTCTTCTCCCTTTGGGAAGACAAGTCCCATACAGTCGTTGTGTTGCCAGGCAGCACATTTATCACAGCATATCATATCGCGTTCGACGTCTTCCTCCTCCTCGTATTCGCCACATATACATCGGATTATTTCGTCTTCTTCGTTTAACACTGGCGGCGTGGGTTCGTTCGAGCTTTGTTTTTGACCCTTCCCTTGGCCCTTGCTTTTTCGTTTGTTTTGCGGGGGGTCGATATCGAGGTTCTTGTGCTGGCCTTTGGTTGCTCGGCCGGAGCGGCGTGGTTCGTCTGTCACCGTATGTTAGCTTCCGTTCATAAAAACGTGGCCTGTTCCATCCACGACGCTGATGGCCGGGATTTCACGAAGGCATCGCTGTTCTGGATGCTCTCTGGCAAACCAAGAATGTACAGTGTGGGATACAAGTGCTTACCAGCCATGATCTTATAAGTTAAGGAGACAGAAACGCTGTTGATAACCGATAGACTACAATCCTTTGAAGCTCAGGAGCGTCGAGGGCTGTTGATTCTGCTTGCAACCCAACGAAACCGTTTTGACTACAGGCATCGAAGGTGCTTAAGAGTAATACACAGGGCTTGTCTCTGATGACAGCAGACGTGACGGATAACTGATATCTGAACTCCCTCCTTGAACGTAATATCGTGTATACCAGAGTGATACTTTTCTTGTGCGGGGAAAGCCTCCACTCCCAGACTCAATAGCCGTACCGTAAGAGAAGGAATCGTAATTATATCTCTTCTCTTTATCAACTCAAGTCTATGCAGTGACGGTATCGCTGCCCTGGAAACAGGAAAATGCACTCTTGCTTATCGCTGCTTGTATTGGGGCTGTCTGCGCGAATGGGATGAAGCAAAAAGCGCGCTCAGGACACGTTGCGATGTGGTATCTTTTATCAAGCAGAGGACAGGGTTATGATAAATTATCATAGGGACCCCTAATATTCATGAAACAAAAAGCGCGTAAGGAGAAAGAAAAGAGAGAAACTTGTTATTTTGCTGCGATGTTGCTGAAGTTGTTGTCATAAGAAGAAAGAAAAAAAGTTGGCTGACAAATAGTTACTAGAAGAGGTTAGACTCTCACGTGATAGCTTACTCCAAAATCAACGTCAAAAGAACAACTTTAAATCAACAGCAACAACAACGTGGAGGAAAAGGAGAACTTGCTTACTTTTATTTAGCTTAGCTGAATACTGATATCTTTATATCATGCCTTTATCTGATTCTATATGAAGCTTTAAACTATCTAGAACATTATCTTTTTGCAAGAAAAGCCATAAATCATAAATAATTGCAACTCACAAACACAAGACAAATAAAACAAAATAACAACTGGTGAAAATCACCAGGGAAATACCCCTTGATACAATTCCAATAGGGCTAGATAATAGCTCAGTATGTTTCTTGAACATATCTTACCAGCTCAACTGCTCGTTTCTCTAGACATATAGCAAGTCACTGCAGATCAGGGCCCTGGTTAATGCTTTCACTGGAGAAAGCTTAAGGAACTTCAAGCTGAATTCTATCAAGTCTTTTACAACATTTCTTAAGTTGCCAGTGTCATTAGGTATCCTGAGCCTAGAACGACTGCCCTTGATGGCTAAATGTTGCATGCGTTTCCGGAATTGCGAGCCAATCGACCATACCACGGAAGCTGGCGACAGAGCTATCTGAGGCTCTGAATTCTATACTCACGGTATACTCAGCCTCCCTTGGGCTGCAGCAGCTGCTTTCAATGCTGTTTTCTTAGAAGTCAAAAGCCAGTTGTCTGCAACCCAACCAGGAAGCAGCACCAGCAACGCGTTGTTCTCTGTCCCGGAGTTCTAGAAGCATACTTCTGGATGAAATTTCTGTGCCATCCTGGAAGTAATTGACTAGAATGGCAGCTCTCTTGCTTTCCAGATCTTTTTGCCGGGGTGATGAGATTTCCCTCTAGCTTCCTGGTTTAGCAGCAGTGTCACCGGGATGGCTTGCATTAAATATTTTGGTGGAGAAATAGGAGGTGAAAGGAGTTATTGGGGTAGATGCCAGCGCCGCATCCATCCTCTACCTAGGATCGTTTAGTCTGATGGCCGGCAATTCCAAAAGCTATGAAGGCACAATAATGCGGTAATAACTATTAAAAGACTGGGACATCGATCGAGCATGCGTGACCATGTCGCCTAGATCAAACAAACAAATGGTATTTCAAGGGGCGTCTTCGTGCGAGTTAAGACCTTGTATATTACAGCACCAGGGGAAACATGGGAGTATCTATGTATACACTCGTCTCCCAGTTAGCATGGTAGCGAAACCTAACCCAGGGCTTGTTTCATATATATTCTCGGCTGGTAACCAAGAAACACCGGATAATCTGATGCATAACCGCCCGACTAGGGTCGACAAACATGTCGTCCTATTTATAGGACCTCTGTGAGTATTTTTGCCTATTCTTTATGCAGGGATGGTTAACTTGTGATATCAGCAGCCCCGACGCTTAGCTGCATAGACACTACGCGCTGCTTCCCAACAAGCAACTACATCAAGGACAAATATTTCTCTGGTCTCTAGCTTCTTCATCTTCCTTCTCCTTACATACTGGCAGATAAACTCTCCATGTTCACCTATTATTGCATCCAAACTACCTTTTATCCCCAGCTAACTAGATTTTGTACGCCTTCAAAATGCAACCGGACCTAGTATGTGACGGGAGTATTATCGACCACCACAATCATAAGGACAGCCCGGCTATCACTTCGGTGGATAATCAGATTCAAAATTCTGTCAATCACTCTGATGATACATTATCCAAACCAGGTGACTCCTCTCCATACGACTCCAACTCTGCCAATCGTATCAAAGACCCCGGTCCGGACCAAGATGGCTCAATAGATGAAGATGATGTCGAAGAGCTTCCTCCTCATCTAGATACGTTTGATCTAAATTATTCTGCCGATGAATCGGGATATGCTGCTCCAGCCAATGGATACCAGGACTTGAAGGATGGTTCAAAGCAACTGATGAACAAGCAGAATCATGTTATCAAGAAGTCCCGTGAGACAGAAAGAACCAGATGCTTAGCTCAAGGCCTCCATGCGGACAACCTAGAGTCTCAACGGCCGAGGAAAATGATGCGGGCTCAAAATTTGGCAAAGAAACAAGCTTATGGGGAGGAGCAGTCTGACACCGACAGCTCCCTTGGGGATGAATCTAGATCTACTCCTTGGGTATTTGAGGATGAAGCAGCCACCTCCTTTACTAATTGTACCAAAGGGGAGAAGCAAGTGTCGAACGACGATGATCTGGGAATTACAGAAGATGATGTGGAAGACCTTCCTATTCGCTGTGACATACTTCACCTGCGATACCCTGCTGATGAATCAGGATATGCAGCTCCAGCCAAGGGATATCAAGAATGGCAGGACAGAATTAAGGAAAAGAGGGATAGAACTAGGATAATGGGCAAAGCACAAGACACAGAAATGCGTCAGCAGCGCCTGGATCAGATTCTCCTAGCCGAAGATTCAGAAGACAGGCAGGACAGAAAGTACGCAAGCGCAAGAGGGCAAGCTGAAAAACAAATGCTAAGCGAGGATGCATCTGATACAGATACGTCGCTTAGTGCCAATGAATTTGGGTCTGACCCTTGGGTACTTAAAGAGCCAAATGGCCCTCAACTGTCTGGTGATAGGCGCGTAAAAAATTATCCCAGAACTCATCCTGATCCTGTACCCGAAACTATGGATGCATCGGAAAATATCTCACTCGAGGACCAGGAGATACAGGAGAAAGTTGCTAGGCTCGGGCTGCCAAAATATCGTGTCTTTTCTAAGCCATATCCACGCGATTTCATTCCATCATCTGAGTTTGAGAGGATGACAAGGGAAAAGAGACGAGCCAAAGGTATACCCACACCTCCTCACCTGCCATCAGCTCCACGCTCGCTCTTCGATTGGTGTATTGGTGATGGACCAAGTGTAATAGGGCTTCAAGAAACCGAGACTGACAATATACTAATCAACGAATATGAGGCTGACACTGGAGAATCATCCCCGGTAAAATCCCACGATTCTCTGGACAGAGTCATTTCCCCCGATTTGCAACCTACAGTAGAGCCGGATGAGGATGAGCCCATTTTTGCTTCCCAACAGGGACAAGACACTGAGGGTGCAAATGAGAAAGAGGCAGTGACTGCACCCCAAAGGACAGAGAATCAAGATGAGAATCAAGAAGTTACACACTCTGAGGTACCAGCTGCCAATACCCTATATCATTCAAGTCGCACTTCTGCGGAAATGCCTATGAATACCAGCGGGGAACCTGGGTCACCTCGTTACCGTAAGCCATCCATGGATGTTTCGACAGATGACGAGTTACTCATGTATGACAAATTGCATGGTACCAATATTTGCGTGGAGCCTATGAATTTTGATGACCCTGATGTCGTACTGATGTCCGAGTTTGATTTTATGGAACTGGAGGAGAGAAGATGCATGGGCGGGCCTACTCCTCCATGTTGCGCACTCTCACCATCTGAGAATGCCCCCACGGAAACTTCTTCAGATGACTTTTATGAGCGGGTGAAAAGACCAAGATACCCATGTGCTGGTCAAAAATGGTATGTAAACCCATAGTGACACCCCGGTTTCTGCTTTTCTTTACTAAGTGATACTTATAGGAATACGCGGCGTCCGCATTTTCCCATTCCAAAACCCGAGTCTAGAAAGAGGCATCGGGCTACTTTTGGCGGGTATTACTCTTCAGAAAAGGAGACTGAGATAGAGATACCGAGAAGTGATACCTCGCACCGCACAAGGACGAGATACAGGGAACATAGACGAGCAGTTCCTGTGCAAAATACAAGCGAAGATGTGAATATAGTTATTGATTTTTACCTGAACATTGACCCGGAACTCCAAGCAAAGGTCGGCTATGGTAAACAGAAGTCTGGGGATTGCGTTTTAGAAGACTCCATTAAAAGTCCCGTAGATGTGCCTGCGCCTGAGCCAGAGGCGCAAAGGGGTAGGTTCATATGATACAATATTCTAATTTTGGTGATTTATAGCTAACTGAAAAATGGCAGTGGAGTTCGAGGTTATTGTGACAGGCCTAGTTGGCCTTGCTGTTGGATTAGCTGCTGGAATGGTGTTTCGACGATTCAAATAGATCTCTGGTTTAAGAAAGACTTTTGAGACGGACGACTTTCCTACATTATCTTTGACTATCGTCACGAAATTATGAATGTAAACATGATGCTATATAGGATAATAGCTCATCTCTCTTCCTTGCATTCTTTCTGGTCTCCCTCGAGGTCTGGTCAGTTATAATAATATTGTTGTGATGGAAGTGCTCCAATGAAGCTAAAATTAAACATAGAGATAAACTTTAATTGGCTAAGTAATCCAATACACGTGATTATAATTAATTACATAATCAATTAAGATTAGCTGGAGCCGCAGAAGGTAGCGAGCTAAAGACGAGATGGCTTACAGCTCTTGATGGCGTCAACATTCCAGGTCGACTACACAGGCCGATTACCAAGAATCTTTGTCACTCGCTCACACCCAGAAAGTCACTATGGTAGATGTTCGGGAACTCCTTCGAAACGAACTCGCGTCAAGACAACTCCCAAGCTCGAAAGCTGCCAAAAAACGCAGACACGGCCCTGACTTGGAGCCAGCACGGAAGAAGCCCAGGGCAGACACAGAAGACGGGGCGGAAGATGAGAGTGACCTGACCGTCAATAGTACAGCAGAGATACCTGATGAGCCATCACCTCCCCGAAGCCTTAGTGCGGATAAAACGGAGGCCGCACCTGAGATGATTACCGAGGAGATTCCACCTCCGCCTGAAAATCAAGCTGTCGACGAGGATGAGTGGGCAGCTTTCGAGCGGGAAGTTGCTCAGCCTTCCAGGGAGCAACAGCCTACCACAATAAATACCTCGGCGACAATATCTGCTGCCCCCGTGTCTGCCGCTGAACTTGAGTCGCGTGAACGCGAGGATCGGGAGGCGATGGCAAAGAGCCGGGAGGCAGCATTGCTGGGGGATCGTGAGGATGCTACTAGATTCTTAGAGGAAGAATTTGACGAGATGGAGGAACTGGATCAACGTGTCAAACGGTTAAAGCAAATGCGGGATGAGATTCGCCGCAAACGAGAAGAAGAGAGTAGCAGACTCAACGATGTACAAGAAAGTGGGCTGTTGGGTAATAACCACACGGCCGGCGATGGAGACAAAGATGAAAACGATGATGACGACGATGATGATGAGGGAGAAAGTTGGGATGATTGGGGATTTAGATGATGAAGAAAGGATTTGTACAAATGGTTGAAAATTGTCCTGAATCAGTCATTTATAAGCGATACCCTACATTTAATTCGTCTTCCAACGATTATGTTCGTTGATGTAATATAGCATAGCGCGATACCTATTTACAATTAGTAGCATCAGAATATATGCGGTACACACGCAGCTAAGTGTCATCCATATAACTTTTTAGACCCTCTCTGCCCACTTTCATAGCTCTCTGAACCTCCGCATCTTCCTGGCGGAGGGCATCTTTGCTATGCATAACTGCTCTCTGCTGCCTTCGCTTCTCTTCTTGCACTCTCATTTCACGGTCATGCAAGGCCTTCTCTCTCTTTCGCCGTTCTTGCTCTTTCTTTAGCTGTTCGGCCTTTTCAGCATCATCTAGCGTATCTGCTTGCTCTGGCGCCGCGGGCAGTGTAAGGATGTAAGACTCAATAAGCTCATCTCGGGTTTGCGAAGGTAGGGATATATATCGAATGTCGGATAGGATTTGCTGAGGTAGTGAGTGGATCGAGCTTGACATGTTAAGTGCTGATAGCGGGATAGACTTGAGTAGAGAAGATAGATCGGACTTTCGAACACTTTCTGGAAGTTTTAGTCTTGCTATATGGTCACGGTAGTGCTTTTCTTTCTCCTTTTCTGGTATTCTGCTATCTTTCATTTCCGGCTCCTTTCGATACTTGCGCTTAAACTCAGGCCAATAGAGTTTAGGGGTAGCATGTTCATGCAGAAGCGCAAAATATCCAATCTGAGGATTTGCCTGTTGTTCCTTCTTCTTGCGTTCCTTGTGCTCATGTATTCGGTCACGGCTCCAACTAGACCAGACCTCCCGTCTTGATTTCATATTCGGCAGAACCGTGTACCTCGGATCAAAAACTATCTTCCCTTCTTCGATAATAGTTTCCCAAGGAGTATATGGGCTTATCCTGAAGTCGTCAAGTAAGTCACGGAAAAGAGCAATGGTATCTTCTTCAGAGAGGGGTGGCTCCTCTTCATTCTCTTGCCATTCAGTTTCGCCAGCTTCGCCATATTCGTCGTACTCGCCGGGGTCACCACCGTAGTCGTCGGCCATGGCAGCCAACTGATACTCGATGTCGTCCTCGTTGAATTCGACCTGCTGGTTAACTTCCTCGTCGGTTTTTATTCGCTTCGACGGTTCTTCCTCTTCATCGTCCGTCACTTCCACCTCCTCGTATTCGCTATCCGAGTCTCGTCTCTCGGGCACAACTTCAGTGGGAATTGGTGTTTGTTCTAATCGCTTTTCAGATGGTTCAATACCAGCCTCTGCCTTCGGTTTCTCCTCTCCTCCTCTCTCACGCCTTTCTTTAGCTTCTCGCTCAATACGGTCATATTCCACAACACCCTTCATCACCTCGGCAGGATATTTCCAAAAGCTCTCGTTTGTCTCTGGGTTGTGGACAAACCGACGGCCCAGCCTTGTCTTTACCAGAACCCACGGAGCACATCCGGGTATAGCATGTTTTGTCTTCGGCCGGTCTTCGGGATGACGGTGTTTTCTATAGGGCTCTCTAGTTCGAGAGAGTCCTTGGAAGTTCGGGTCAAAGCCTCGCGTAACATAGGCAGGTGGTTGAAATTGTAGCGGATATGACGGTAGTGCAGCTGGTACCGCCACAGGCACCGGTGTCTCTTCAACAGGCCGCTTATATGTTGACTGTTTTGTCTCTGCATTATAGTAATATCGATGCCCTGGTACATATAATTGTCAGGATAAACCGTGATTCAAGGGTAACGCTTCTGTATTTCCTTACCTGAGGGCGCTTTGTGCTCGGTCCATCCTGGCGGGAGGGCGTTAGCTGGAGTATAAGTCGACTTCAGCATCCTGTTCACTATGTCCCCAAAGTATTCGCCGTCCTGAAAGACGTATTTAATTGTTCTGCTGTTGTTCTCCCTCTCTTCGCCTTCTGCCTTTCTGGTGTTTTTTATGTCGAAGTTCTGCGGCTGCTCTCTGATTGGCCCGAGCTCTCTCTTGGTACGCGCGATGCTTTTGGTGGCCTAACCTAACTCACTGAAAGTTGCTTCTTGAGCTATCCGAACAACAACGACGACAGCCAGACAGACAACGGGGAAGCAGAGGGAGAACACATACACGAGGCCGACACTACTTTCATACCGGGCACTGGAAGTAGATTGCTTGGGAGTAAACTGTTTAGTGACACGGATTTGCACTTGGAACAGGACAAATGGCGCGGAGATACGACTCTAGGGTAGGCCTCTCTCCTTCCAACTAATTCGGCTCGCTAGCTAGCTGAAGGCGCCAGACTGACGGTGATGCTGGCTGTAGACAACTATATTCTCGCCGGAAGGCCGCCTGTATCAGGTTGAATATGCTCTAGAGGCCATCTCCCACGCCGGAACTGCCCTCGGCATCCTGGCCAAAGATGGGATAGTTCTCGCTGCGGAGCGGAAGGTCACCAGCAAGCTTCTGGAGCAGGACACCTCTGCAGAGAAGCTCTACATCTTAAACGAGTCAGTTATCCTCCATGAAGCAACGCCGTTCTAATCCCGCCCGTTGTTAACAATATGGTTATAGTAACATGATATGTGCCGTTGCCGGAATGACTGCCGATGCCAATATACTCATCAACTATGCCCGTCAAGCTGCTCAACGATATCTCCTCACCTACAACGAAGATATCCCGTGTGAACAACTAGTCCGTCGATTATGTGATTTGAAGCAGGGCTACACCCAGCATGGTGGTCTTCGGCCGTTCGGTGTATCATTCATCTACGCTGGCTACGACCCACTCCGGCAATTCCAGTTATACCAGAGCAACCCTAGCGGCAACTATGGTGGATGGAAAGCTACCAGTGTCGGGGCTAACAATGCTAGCGCACAAAGTCTTTTGAAGCAAGACTACAAGGAAGACTGTGATTTGAAGGAGGCATGTGGCATGGCTGTCAAGGTTCTGAGCAAGACCATGGACTCTACCAAACTGAGCAGCAAGAAGAGTAAGCACTTCATATCTCTTCCACGATTATTTGTTGGATATATCTAACCTAGCATGGGGAATTGTAGTTGAGTTTGCCACTGTTGGAAAGACCAAGGACGGCAAGATCTATCACCACCTTTGGGGTGCTGATGAGATCGATGCTCTTCTAAAGGAGCATGATCTAGCTAAGCCTGATGACCAGGAGACTGGATAAATGCTAACTCACGGTTCTACAGCCATGTTCTGCCTATAACGAGACGGCGTTCTGGTTCTGTGTTTACTATGCAGCGGGTCAAGTCTATCAATCATTGCAGCCCATAATATAACCACTTGGGACTTTGGTCCTTGCGTTTTGTCAGCATATAAAGTCGTAAGCTTATGGATTTTCCCGTCCCGAGCTGCATTATTTCTAGGTCTTTTTCTAGTCAGCATTATATCGTGCAGGTATATAATGCAGCCTAAGAGATATGTGCCTGGCAGCTATGTAAACGTCCCCTATTGCGCTCGACAATTCTCCAGTAATGCCTGGCTAAAGAACTCTCGCGTTTCTCGTAGGCGGTTGGTCGAGTCTCTCGAGGTTGTCTGGAAGTCTCTGCCAAGGCGGCAAGTAAAGCAGGGACCTAACTAGTTTTAAGCCAATCAGAACTTGTTAAAATGGAGCCAATCGAAAGCAAGGATCCTGGACCTTAACTGGCTCTGATAACTGCATGCAAAACACGAGTTCAGCCCGGATGCTCCAACGCAACACAACGGTCAGTATCAACTGCTGGCCTCACAAATACATAGATACTGGTACTCTGTCGGGTGTTTTGCGATATATCTATGTAGTAGATTGCTGTTAGGATCTGTGTTGATACCCATGGTCAAAAGTTGCCGGCACTGCTCCTGAACGAGATGCCAACTTGCTCCAGGGATTTAATGCCATGCAAGCGCAAGAGACCAACCGGAAGGGACTGACGGGAGTAAACGGCCATTATAGGGATCCCTGTCGACATAAAAACACCCGGTCTCCTCAGCATGCTCGCAATGCATACCATTTTAGGATTGGTGATTGACAATGTGGGCGACTTTTTGTGCCCCCAAACTCTGTTGATCGAAATATATATATATATTAGTGCTGCCAACTGAATTGTCACGACTCAAAGATAATGTCTCTGCTCAATAGCTATCCGCTTTCTTGAGGCCTGATAGCAACGAGCTGCATAACTGCTGGGCGTTGGCCAATATGAGAGAACCAACTGCTGCCTGCTCCCGAAATGATACAAATACAACTCCAACAGGGGTAGGAGTACACGGCCAGGCCGATACCATTAGCACGGTTATCTCTACGAAGAAGACATGGCGTTTTTGGGCCATATTCCCTGCACTATGCATGACTACCTTTTTATCTGCGCTCGATACATCAATTCTCTCAACGGCGCTGCCTACTATATCCAAGGATTTGGGCGCTGGTCCTCTATACATCTGGATTACGAATGCGTACGTGCTTTCGTCTACTGTCACGCAACCCCTCTTCGGTCAATCAGCCAACATCTTCGGTCGGAGATGGCTCTTAATCCTCTCGGTTGTCTGGTTTGCTGTCGGTAGTGGATTAGCTGGAGGTGCGAACGGAACTACCGTTATCATTTTAGGCAGAACTATTCAAGGTATCGGCGGCGGGGGCATCAATACCTTGATAGATATTGTCATTGGGGATCTGGTACCCATGCGTGAACGAGGAAAATACGTTGCGCTAATGGGTGTTATCTGGGCCATTGGCACTGTGATAGGGCCAGTACTTGGTGGCGGCCTAGCTGAGCATGCCTCCTGGAGATGGATTTTTTATATAAACCTCCCTCTCTCTGGGTTATCCCTGATTTTGCTGTATTTTTTCTTGCGTGTGGCATCTCCGCCAGGTAATGGGTTCTACAAACAGCTTTTACGTGTGGACTTTATTGGCAATGCCATACTTGTCATGGCTGTCATATCTATTCTCTTGTCATTGACCTGGGTGGGCACGCTCTACCCTTGGTCTTCTTGGAAGATCATTTTACCCCTCGTTATTGGGTTCCTGGGATTGATTCTTTTCTATGCACATCAGACATCACGTTTCTGCCGTGAACCATCTATCCCATTGAGGTTATTCCCCACACCTACATCCCTCTTTTCCCTCATCCTAGGATTCACGGGTTCTATTCTGATCTATTGGGTTGGCTACTTCCTGCCAGTCTACTTCCAGGCTGTGCTAGGAACGTCCGCAACGAAGTCTGGTCTTTTCGTTCTTCCGATTACAGGTGCAGTTGCCCCCTTCGGCATCCTGGCCGGTATTCTCATTTCTGTCTGGGGCAAGTACCGAGCTTTCCATTTCATTGGTTTCGGTCTTATGTCAATCGCCGTAGGACTCTTCTCAATTCTTGATCAACACTCATCGGCTGGATATTGGGCAGGGTTCCAGATAATTTTTGGAGCTGGGTCAGGCCTGATATATTCGAGCACATTACCGCCAATCCAAGCCTCTTTACACGAATCTGACATGGCTACGGCAACTGCAACCTGGGCATTTATGCGGAGTTTTGGATCCATCTGGGGGGTTGCTATCCCCACCGCAATATTTAACGAGAAGACTGAATCCCTTCTCGGAGGAATCAGCGATCCTTCTTTGAGGCGTCATCTCTCGAACGGTGGAGCATATGCACTCGCAAGTTCCGGCCTCTCATCCTCCCTCATGCATGACCCGAAACTATTATCGGAGGTGATTGGATTATATACTCAATCTTTAAGGTTTGTATGGTTGTTAGCAATACCCTTCGGCATTTGCGGATTCGTTGCCAGTTTTCCCATTCGCCAGCTTGAATTAAAGACACATCTGGAGACTGAATTTGGGCTGCAAGAGCAGCGACAGGAAGGTTAGGGATAATCGTCATATTCGCCGCAAATCTCTAATTCGTCAAATTATAACACACTCTTTCATCCGGTCAATAAAGACCATATAAACAGCCAAAGGAGACCTGCTCTCCTATGTCACTTGAAATAGAGCGTGTCCTTATTTGGAGGTCATCCCAGCTACTCGTCAGATGTGACTGCGTACGGGATTTGCTTTGTTATCATAAAGGCGGAACTCACGTCACTCAGGTCCCTTAGTGTCTTGGTAGCTACATCTTGTCGACTTTCCCCCTGACACCCCTGAGGATGGTTCGGGGGACGGAGTTCCGCCAACTTGGAGTAAAGGTCTGGAAAGGTTATACATGCACATGCGGAAGTGTGTATCATGCGGGGACAATCAAACAGAAAGTTATAAAACGTGCCTAGGTGAGCTAGGGGGGATATGTCGCTGCCTGCTACTAGAGATGCAATCCCAAGGATTATCGGCTTTTAATTGGGCGGTATTCCCTGAACCTGGCAGGTGGAATGCATCAATGCCAGGACGCATCAAGGCAAATACGGCATCCACAGAGAACCAGCGTAGAGTGTTGAGCCGGACTACTGGGACAGGTGGAGGCGGTGAATACTCCTAGCCATGCCGTAGGCGGCTCAGGGAGAGTTAACTGTTGGATATTTGTCCTGCCAATCCCTGTTTGCGTCTTAAAGCCCAAGCCTCCGCCTTCGATAACATCATGCATTTAGAGGGTGTCCGGAGTATTAATGCAATCCCAAACATTCCAGAGTATGGACATCCTTGATTGCATGCATTCACAAAATTATCCCATGTCTGGCAATTTTGCGCAGCCTGCTTCGCTCCAAACGACCCGGCAGCGGTAGAGATAACCGGAGACCCATACACTATGTTAGGGGCCTATTCCCGCTCCTCTATTGATATACCTGCTATATCACCATGGATTTCTGGTCCCTTTCTGTTCAAGGATAACTCAGAATTACTCTGGGGTCTTTGTTAAGGAATTATACCTTTTCACCTTTGGCCGTCGGAGGTAACTAGTTCTTTACTAAAGCTATGGGAAATATGGCAAACACCGTTGACGAAGGCATTGCCATTGTTGGCATGGGTAAGTGGCCTATTGCTTCACTTTGGATATAAGGGGTTGACAATAGCGTACTCAAATCTACCAGCTTGTCGCCTTCCTGGAGGTGTAACCTGTCCAGAATCATTCTGGGATTTCCTCCTGAGCCAGCGCTGTGCCCGTGGCCCAGTCCCAGCCAGCAGATTTAACGCCGCAGCCTTCTACAATCCTCAGAAGGACCGGACCGGGTGCATTCGTTATACAGAGAGCTACTGTATTAACAATGATCTCGAGGATTTTGACAATGGCTTTTTTGAGATGACGAGTGCGGACGTCCAGACGCTAGATCCTCAACAGCGCCAACTGCTCGAATGCTGCTATGAAGCTCTCGAGTGCGGGGGTATTACCCTCAACCAGGTTGCAAATACAATGACTGGCGTCTATATTGGTAATTTTGCCAGTGACTACGAGTCACTGGCGTTCAAAGAGCCTGAGAAAATCGAGGGCATGCAAGTTCTGGGTATGGGGAGGACGACTGTGAGCAACCGCGTCAGCTATCTGTACAACTTGAACGGACCAAGGTGAGCTGTCTCTGTTGAATAGTTAGCTACTCTGAGAGTATCATGTTAACAACTAGATTAGCGTCACCATGGACACAGCTTGCTCCTCCACGATGTATGCTCTCCACTTCGCCGTTCAGGCTCTTCGCAACGGCGAGATCCCAGCCGCGTTTGTCGGCGGCGTCAACCTTATCTTGACGCTGGAATACCATTTTGCTATTGGCCAAATTGGCGCCTTGTCTCCAACCGCCATGTGCCACGCCTTTGACGCGTCTGCTGATGGCTACGCGCGGGGAGAGTCCATCAATGTTTTATACTTGAAGCGGGTCTCTGATGCGTTGAGAGACGGAGATCCTATTAGGGGGGTAATTAGAGGTGTCTCTTTAACTGCGTGAGTCCACAGGGAGCCCGTATGAACCGACTATTGAGATAGGGAGGTTGATACTGCGCAGCTCCGGAGTACTAACCCTCGAATAGGAATGGCAAAAACAATGGTATCACCTTGCCTAGCGCAATGGCGCAGGAGTTGTCTATCCGAAAGGCATATGAACACTCGGGGCCTATTGATTATAGCGCCGTTGGGTTCGTTGAATGCCATGGGACTGGAACGCCCATCGGTGATCCGATCGAGACCACAGCGATTGCGAACGTGTTTGAAGACAGTCGAGACTGGCATGATCCCATCCTTATCGGATCAACAAAGCCTCAGGTAGGCCATGGTGAGGCCGGGTCTGCCCTGACAAGTATCATCAAAGTCGTTCTTGCGATGGAAAAAGGAATTATCCCCGGAACAATCGGTATTAACAGGCTGAATCCAAATCGTGAGTGCCCCTGATTACTAGTTAATGCCATATGTGTCGGACGCTGCTAACTAACTAATGCCCGGCTGATCAGTGGATTTGCGACGGGGATGCCTGGCTGTCGTCGCCAAAAACACTCCCTGGCCTGCAAACAAAGCAAAGCGCGCATCCGTCAACTCTACAGGGTACGGTGGCGCCAATGGGCATGTAGTGCTTGAAACTATTGAGGAGTATCTGAAAGGCTCAAATGTGCTGCTGGATACGCAGGTACAGCTCTCTATCGACCCTTATACGTCCATTTTACAGGCACAGTTTTTACTCCCGATCTCCGCCCACGATGAGTACTCACTTTTGAGAAACTTGGAAAACGTATCGGACGTATTGCACAGTGGAAAATATGACATTCATGGGTTGCTCTATACCTTAGCTGAGCGCAGGACTAGATTTCCTTATCGCGGCATCATACCCATAACAATTTCCAATCATGAGTATGCCTTCGGCAAACCGTCAACGGGGAAGGCAAATCTCGTTGTCCCCACGGTAGCTTTTGTTTTCACCGGGCAGGGGGCGCAATGGGCGGGAATGGGAAGAGAACTTCTAGATAGTTTCCCTGCGGTTAAACGAGTTTTCTGGAGGCTAAATAAAGCATTAGCTCAACTACAGCCTGCTCCAGCATGGAAACTCCAAGGTAATGTCTATAAAAGAGCACATTATGTGGGAGATTATGATGCACTAATGCAGCTGCCTAATAGAGATACTGCTTGAACCAGAAGAAACAAGCAGAATTGGAGACGTTGCATTTTCTCAACCAGTATGTACGGCGATTCAGATCGCTTTAGTGGATTTGCTCCGCGAATGGGGAGTGAATCCCGTAGCAACAATTGGCCACTCATCCGGTGAACTTGCTGCTGCATATGCTGCAGGGCTAATTTCAGCGGAGAATGCAATTATTGCAGCTTATCTACGAGGCGTGCATGCTACTTTGACGCAGGAACCGGGGGCTATGATGGCAGTGGCAATGGGGGTACTAGATGCTGAGAATCTCCTTGCAGAGCTGGATATCCCTCCTGAAGATGTTTGTGTTGCTTGCATCAACTCTCACAAGAGCGTCACGCTTAGTGGAAAGCTACAGCCTATTAATAACCTACACAGTGTCTTGAAAGCGCGCTCCGTGCTGTGCAAGAAATTAGCTACCGGAGGCAAAGCTTATCATTCTCCCAGCATGAGGTCAGTCGGCTTAGGATATAGTGATGCTATAAGGGAGGCTGTTGAAATACCAAACGGTATAAATTGAACAAAGCAACAACCTAACGGCCATGGTTTAGTTGCGGCTGTCAACTCCACGCCGTGTAGCACTAATAAATCCACAGTACAACCCCATTCAGCTGCTACCCGACGACATAAGGTCGATGGTAGTTCCAGGCCCGTGATGATTTCGTCGGTTATCCTGGAACCTCTTCAACCATCTGACATTTCGGGTGCATATTGGCAGAGAAACCTGGAATCCCCAGTTTTGTTTGACCCGGCATTAAAATATCTGTTAGAGCTTACATTTGGCCCTGAAGATCGATACGTGGACTGTCTGATAGAGATAGGGGTATGCCCTCCCACTTTTCTTCAATAGTATGTGAAGTCCTACTAACAATTATGCTTGCTGCAGCCTCATAATGCTCTCAAGGGCCCCATCAATCAAATCATCAGTTCTCCGGAAGTCACCGAATTATGGAAATCAAACCTCGGAAGTACACCAAAGATATCATATGAGTCCACTCTTGAAAGACAACACAATGCAGAAGACGACATGATGAGACTCGCTACGAACCTTTTTATGAAAGGCTGTTCAATTGATATGCGTCAAGTCAATGGTCAAGCTTCCTATCGACCCGAAAAGCCTATCGCTGGCCTACCAATGTACCCCTGGAACCATACAAACCCACACCCACTTATTGTTACCCGTGCAACTAAGGACTATAAGTTTGCTACCCATCCAAGGCACGATTTGATTGGAAGCAGACTTCCAGGCAGTAATCGACTGGAACCAATCTGGCGAAACAATCTCCGCTTGAAAGACGTGCCTTGGATTAAAGATCATGTCGTAAGTTGACATATCTACTGTGTATGTCATCTATCAACTAACGTTTAGATAGATTGGTAATGCAGTCCTTGTCCCCGGAGTGGCGTATATTGCCATGGCAATCGAAGCTGCTGCTCAGTTTGCTGAAGACGAGACTCTTGGTGGCCCTGATTTCGAGTTTGAGGATGCAAAATTCCACTTACACACTATGGCTGTCAAAGCTGCATTAGTTATCGGTGCCAGTGGGACAGCAGACATTATGATCAACCTGCGGCCAACTGACGCTTCGGCTGCACGTAACCGGTTTGATTTCAAAATTTGTTCTGTAACTGATGACCGGTGGACAGAACACGCTAATGGATCCATTTCCTACGAAATCATGCACGGCAAGCGGACAATGAAGTCCTCTTTTGCTGACGAGACAGCCGATCCCATATTTGAAGAAAAAATTGGCAAGGACTCTTGGTATGATCGACTCAAGTATCGAGGTTTCGATTTTGGGCCTTTCTTCCGAGTTATAGACGAAATCGAGATTCTACGCTATGAGTCTCGTGCTCGAGCCAAAACGCCCATTCTGAAGACTATGGCTAAGGATACCCCGCACGAATCTCGGTATGCAGTTCACCCTTTAACAATTGATGCAGTACTCCAGGGCCGTGTTGTTGCTGTTTACAATAGCCGGGTAGACAAGGAAGAGGCGACCCAGATCCCCGTGTTTGTGGAAGATATGGTAATTTATCCTGCCTCCTGGGCAAAAAACCAGACCGGTATCATTGACAGTGTTGCCTGGACCGAGGGTGCCCGAAGTGGTGGCTCTCACTCCAGGCTAGTAACTGAGGATGGCTACGAGATAATTTCGACTAAACATGTCAGATGGCGCCAATTCGAGAACCAGGGTAGCCAAGAAAAGTTGGCAAAGAGTACTGCACGAGAGCCATACTATCGACTACATTGGAAACCAGATGTTGATTTTCTCAATTCGGAGAAGGCCAATGGCTTGTACCATAGAGATTTCAAGTCTCCCCTGGGGATCAAATACCTCGATGAAATCTACAATATTCGCATTCGCCTAGAAACAGTGACTGTCCTTTACATATGCAAGACCCTTGAGCTTATTAGCAAGGAAAACCTCCCTTCGGATTCCTCATTGCGGTGGATCCACGCGTACTATGACTGGATGCGACATGTTAGGGCTGAGGCGGCAGCTGGTAACATGGTACTTTGCGATGATCATGCTACACAGCTTGCCCCTGGTATGCGAGAACGTCGAATTGAGACCTTGCTATCGGAACTTCCTTCAAACTTTCCCCAGCTAGAATATAATAGAGTGGTGATGGAAAACATGAGCGGAATCTTGAATGGAACGACTTCTGGTGTGAATTTGGCGGTTGAGGCCGAAGTCCTTGCTGGTGTTTATGCTGACGGTTCGATTCATGATGCTGCGCGTAAAAATCTTCGATCTCTAGTTGATAACTTAGCCCATAAAAACCCAACCATGAAGATTCTCGAGGTGGGTGCGGGGACAGGAAGCTGCACGTCTGTCGCTTTGGACATTTTGAATACCTACGACAAGAACAACGGGCACGCAAAGCGATATGCAGATTATACCTTTACTGATATTTCACCATCCTTCTTTGAGAAGGCCGAGGAGATGTTTTCGGAGTACTCTGCTATAACCTTTAAGGTATTTGATGTCGAAAGGGACCCAGAAACCCAGGGCTTTAAGAACCATGATTACGACCTAATTCTTGCATCCAATGTGCTTCATGCACCTGGAAATACAGATAAATTGCTCGCGAATTGTTGCAAGCTCCTCAAGCCTGGTGGAAAGCTGGTCATGCTCGAGATCACCCAAACCGAGAGTCTCACACCTGTCCAATTTGCGTTTGGTACTCTCCCTAGCTTTTGGGGCTGCCTTGATGATGCTGATGGTGACCGTCCCCTGGGCCCGTTTAGAACGCTGCCATCTTGGGATGAACAACTTCGCCTCTCTGGTTTTAGTGGCTTGGATTTGATTCTGAGAGACTTCCCAGAACCCCTGGCACTTGAGAGTGTCATGATGTCAACTGCTATTCACGCATCAACTAGCAATACGATTGTCTCGGAAATTGGTCCTGTAATCATTGTAAGTGGGATATCCTATTTTATGTGGACAACTGCTAACATCGTTAAGGTGCACTCAGCTAGCCAGGCAGACTTAGCCCTGGCTATTGCTCAGCTCATTGAGAAATCGGGAGGGAGTGTCAGATATAGCTCCATGGCAAACCTTCCCGAGCTTGTTGACTCGAGTCAGCCACAAGGATATATCGTTTTGGAAGAACTCGATAAACCGATTCTAATTGATATGCAGCCAATGCAGTTCGAAGGTTTTAAGAAGCTTGTCCGTACAGCCTCAAGCATTCTCTGGGTTACTGCAGGGGACCTTATGGCCGGAAAAAATCCATCAGCTGCCATGGCCCACGGAATCAATACGGTCCTGATGAATGAAAATTCAACGAAGAATCTTAGATTTGCTACCCTGGACCTTGACGATGCCGCTATCTCTGAAACTACGACAGCTGTTAAGCATATCGCGGACATATTCTTATTGGTTGCAAAGGCGCAATCAAGAGAAGATTGTGAAACGGATTTTATTCTCAAAGACGGTGTCATTTACATAAGTCGTGTTGTTCCCGACGCTCAGCTGAACGAAGAATTCAGGTTGGACAATGGAGATGGTCGCGTAGACCAAGATTTCCCAACCTCTGGGAATGTGCAGCTAGCCCTTGAAACGCCAGGTCTTCTCGACACGATATACTTCCGTGAGCAACCTACTTGCGACATTGATCTCGGCTCAGATGAGCTGGAAATTAATGTTAAAGCCGTTGGCCTGAATATGAAAGTACGTCTCTTCTCACCCTAACAACTGCTCAAAAGCTTACAATAGTATAGGACTATGTTATTGCTATGGGAAATTTCGAAAGCGTCAAGTCCAGCATCGAATCGACTGGGGTTGTATCCCGCGTTGGTGCTAACGTTAAGAATATCAAACCTGGAGACAAGGTTATATGTTTCGAGCGAGGCCATTATGACACGTTCTTGAGAAGCCCCGTTGCCAAGTGTCTAAAGCTAAACGACGGTGATGACTTGATTGAAATGGCTACAATTGGCATTGCACTTGGTACCGCATTATATTCCCTGAGATACCTAGCACAACTTGAAGCTGGAGAAACAATTCTCATTCAAGCTGCTACAGGCGGTCTGGGCTTGGCAGCAATACAATACTCAAAGCTCGTCGGAGCAGAAATATATTCAACTGTTGGTACCCAAGCCAAAAAGGAATATTTGATTAACGAATTGGGGATCCCAGAAAATCAGATCTTTTGGTCTCGCTCTCTTGACTTCAAGCAAAACCTGTTGAAAGAGACAAAGGGGAGAGGAGTTGATGTAGTGCTTTCTACAATCTCCGGCCCAGGCTTCTATGAGGGCTTTGGCTGCCTGGCGCCATGTGGAAGACTAATTGATGTGGGTAGAGGGAATGTTTTGGACAAGGGAAAGCTGGGATTGCATGTTTTTGATGAAAGCATTAGTGTGTTCTCTTTCGACCTCAACTTCGTGCTCGAGAAAAAGCCTCAGCTTGCTTCACGGTACGACCCCCATCCACCTATCTCACACTAGCTTTTGGCTAATAATCTTCAGACTTCTAGCAGATATGACGGAGCTCCTAAGGGGAAAGAAGATCAAGCCAGTCAAAATAGATCGGACATTCCACATTACTGACCTGGAAAAAGCTCTTAGATACTTTGGCCAAGGACAACATATCGGCAAGGTAGTATTGACCTATGGCCAAACTGAAAATAAGGTCAAACTACATGGAGCTCTAAAGCCCCGCGGAATTCACGCCAACAACAGTTATGTCTTAGCTGGCTGCCATGGTGGCCTTGGGCACAGTATTGCAGATTGGTTGATCGAGCACGGTGCCCGGAATTTAGTGTTTTTGTCTCGTTCCGGGGAGAAAAAGCAAGAAAATGCGTCCTTCATATCACGAGCAAAAGTGAGGGGCGTCAATGTTGTATCTCTGAGAGGAGATATATCCAGGATGGTGGATGTGGAGGAGGCTGTTACTAGGGCAATCTCGATGGGCCCTTTGAAAGGAGTGGTGCATGCTGCAATGGTTTTACAGGTAAGTCCAGATCTTCTAAGTACAACAACATCCTGCTCACATAGCTAACTATTAAAAGGATGCGTTTTTTGATACTATGACTCTAGAAACTTTCAATGCGGCTATTCGCCCCAAAGTACACGGCGCCCTTAACCTGCATAAAGCGACACTTGATGCACAAGCCGAACTGGACTTTTTCTTCATGACGAGCTCCACTGTGACTTATGTTGGACATATTTCTCAATCTAATTATGCGGCAGCCAATGCAGTTCTGGACAACCTGGCAAGGCATAGACGTGAATTGGGCCTTCCAGCGACAACAATTTCATTAGGGCCGATCAAGGGGGTTGGGACTCTAAACAGAAAACCAGAATATGCTGAAAACCTACTACGATCTGGTTTGATTGAAGCACCAGAGTCCGAGTTTATTTATCATTTTGAGAGACTCATCAAGGAACAAGAAAAGTCACCACATTTCGACAGAAATACCCAAGCGCATATTCTCACAGGCGTGGAATATAGCAAACATGACCTGAGCATGGTTCAGGTAACTAGGATTGAAAAGGATCGCCGTTCCGCTCTGTTGGTCACTATTTTAGAATCCCGTAAAGCTACAATCGGAGAAGGTACCGCTTCGGCTGAAATGATGGGTGACGAAGCGTTAGATATCCCGGAGGACAGAAACGCGGCTATTATAATCCTGGCAGATGCGGTTGCTCAGAGGCTGGCAAAGCTACTATTTGTTGCTTCTGATGACATTGATATCACACGCCCACTATCACATTACGGCATCGATAGTATGTCTGGCAGCGAGATGGTACATTGGCTGTCCCAGAAATTTTCTGTTGGCATGTCTTTTCTTGAACTCCTGGACCCTATGTGTACATCGAAACACCTAGCTGGAGTTATATATGACACTGCACAGAAGTACAAAGAGTCAACGGTAGCCAAAGACGCTGAAGCTACAGATATCGTTATTGATACAAATGAAAACTCACAAGCGGAAGACAATGGCACAAATGGGGCTGGATTACTACATGAGGTTGAGGAGAATCATCAAGGCTCTGGGTCCCATCTAGAGATGTTTTCTACATACCTTAAACAAGCAGTTTCGGGACCGAAGCCAGTGGCACACTCCTATGTCTGTTCAGTGATAAATAAGGATGGTAAGTTGACGCTCTAACTTGCATGTCAAAGCTAATGGAAAATTCTGTAGGTGATCAACTGTACTCCCACGCGGAAGGCTCAATTTCACAACATTCAAGTGAAAGGGCAGGGTTTGATTCAGTCTACTGGATGGCCTCAATGACAAAATTGATGACAGCAATTGCTGTCATGCTCTGTGTCGAACGTGGTCAAATATCCTTAGACGAGGACATTGCCACGGTTTTACCTGACCTATGTTCTCTCCCGGTTCTTGACCGTGTTGATGCCAAAGGGAAGTACTCGACTAAGACGCGCAGTAAGCCGATCACCCTTAGACTCCTACTTACTCACCAAAGTGGTTGTGGGTATCATTCTAGCCCGTATTTGGCGCGATGGGCCAAACAAAATGGCCGGACAGAGAGCATCTTTGATAATGACTTTGTAAGGATCTGCCTCCTTTATCAAATGTATTAGGTAGGGTATGGCTAACTGTTCCCGCAGAAAGTTATGGAAACCTTTCCCTTGATCTTTGAACCAGGGTCAAATTTCATGTACGGATCAGGTTTTGACTGGGCTGGCGAGCTTGTTGCACGTTTAAACGGGGTGAGCCTTGAGGAGTTTTTGCAGGCTGAAGTCTGCAAGCCCTTGGGGATGACTTCGACAACCTTCCACCCTGACAAACGCGTTGACATGCTCAAACGACGTGTTGAATTCTACGAACGCAACGATGACGGGTACCTCATGCCTGGCGCCGAATATACCAAACTTCCAGCGGCCCATGAGTGTGGCGGACATGGCCTCTGGTCGACACCACGCGACTGGAACAAGTTTGTCCACATGATTCTTAGTGACGGCAGACCCATATTGCAGCAGAGTAGCGTGGACTAGATGTTCAAGCCACAAGCAATTGCAGGTGATGAGTTACGTGAATTGTTATCTGGCCCTCTCCGCGCATCACTGCGCTCAACTGTCGATATGGAGGCTGAAAACATCCAGATTGCCATTGCTGGGCCAGTATATGTAGATGGCATCCCTGAAAGGAGGTCTGCCGGCACTGTACAGTGGTCCGGAAAACCTAACATGTTTTGGTGGATTGATCGCCAGGAAGGTATTGCTGCAATGACCTTCACACAAGTTATTTCAGCATCAGATGCACGGTTTGAGGAGCTGACGACTACGTTTGAGAGAGCCGTCTATGCAGATCTTACGAAAATGTAGGTATTTTACGGCAAACGGCACCTTATTCTGAGACACTCTAACGATATATGTTCCCTCTTGCCACTGATTTTAACGCACTTGTACGGAGTAGATAGAAGGCGTTTTTAGGCAACTAAATATATAATTGAATATCTAACTAGCCAGTACTCAATCCATCTATTTTGCGTAGGAGGTACATGCACAGGCATTGCCAAACACACGTCGGCTCAACTCCGTCCACTTGGATGTTTACTTGTGGCGTCAAACCTTTAAAGTGTCTCGAGAAAAAGGTGAAGGCCCGCGGGCCTTATTAGCATGACGGAGTGATACGGAAAGGATATTGACGGAAGAGCTGGTTAAAGGCAACATGTGGTGGCCGAATGGGGACAGAATACGGCGAAGCTGTGACCCTGCAGGGTCTGGCATGAAAAAGGGGTCTCGGGGAAATTCAACAATAGCTCCCGTGTGTGAAAGGTACCAATTTCGGCCAGTGAAGCTGTAGGAATATCTATCCGTATGAAACAGCGCCATAGACTAAAGACGTGGGAGGTTGGCTAGACGGTCAATTAGCAGTGGGTAAAGGGGGACAAGGGAGCGGGCGGTAAGCAAAACACAACGGTCCCGGAGCCCGTTTGGCCCGCTCCATGCGGCCCAGGCTTTCTTGATCGCATGGATGCAAAGTCTGAAGGCGGCTGGCAAGGGTGGGATAAAAGGAACATTTCAGGGGGCGTGTGTTCCATGTAGCGCGTAGCAAATGCGATAGGCAAACAGCGCTTCGTAGCCGGGCTTATTGACAATAACGGCTCCCGGCTGGCCCATTGATGCCAAACCAAGGTGTAAGCCCAACCTGACAGCATCGTCCACAAACCTCTACAAGTTTATTCTGCTGTCATTTTTCTGATCCAGGATCTCCTCTTGTCGTTGTTATTTCTCGTTATTATTGTTTCCCCCTTTTGATGTCAAGAAAGACGCGGCGGCGCTTACATCACATGATACTCAAGGCAGACGCGCGCTTAGACGCGGTGCCCAAAACTGCGCGCGAGAAGCGTAGACGAGGTCACGGGCCTCTCCCGCCTTTTTTATTTTTATATTTTTCGTTATTTTCTTTTTCAACGTCAAACGACGAAGAAAAGCGCAGAAGAAGAGCGGAAGAGAAGCAGAACGGGCAGAGGAAAAGGGCCTAAGCGAGGTGCTAGACGGGCCAGTCTGTCTTTCGCGCCGATGGAAATTTCATGCGCGAGCTGCTCGGCTGCGGCGCAGGCCCGCCCTGTGTGTCGCGACGCCCCTGGTCATGGAGGAAAATGATAGGCGGTTAACGACAGATTGTCCCAAGCACAAAAGACAAAAAGCGACCCCTTGGGCGCCTAACGCCAGAATATCCCCGTTGTCCAGGGCTGGCGCGGGGCCCCTGAGACGGCTGTCGATGCAGCTTTTACGAAAATCCATTGGCAACCGGCGACTCTCAGCTTGCAAATGTGACAACGCTAAAACAGATTCCATTCAATCTTGGTCCACTAACTAACTAGCTAGTCAAATGTCCCTGCTCCGTGCAGTCATTGCTAGTCCGAAGTCCATACTATCCTCATTATCCCGAAAAGGTGTTGCAAAATCATAACCAAAAAAATCCACAGGGAAGTAAAGAAAAAGGCAAAACACATGAGAATGCAGAGAAACGAAAACGAAAGCGTTATTACATGATATCGTTAGCAGTTGATACCTCCTCTTTTTCTTTTTGCACATTGGACCAACACTCCATGCTTCACTCGATTTTTGGCCCCCGCATAAGTCCCTGGTCGTGCTTACTTGCCAATGGATCTCTGTTTCAATTGTCTCTCATGCTCCAATTGGCTGATTTCCTGTTCGAAATCCTTGACCATGGCCTGAGATTTCTCCATGGAAGCTTTCATGACGCTTCCTTCGCGGCGCCACCGGTTAATACGCTCAACCTCCGTGTTGCGTCGGCGGTGCTTAGTTTGGATCTTCTCGCAAAGCTTGCAGATGGCTTGGATGTTCTCGGTATTGTGGACGAGTTTCATGCCGCAGGTTTCGCCCATTCGATATTCGTGGTTGCACTTGGCAGCAAAGCTGCCCCAGGCCCAATCACCGCAGAGGAATCTCTTCTGGCTGTAGAAGCACATGGTGACTTTGAAACACTGTTCATCAGTCTTCTATACCTTTGGAGCTTTCAATGCGCACTCACCAGCTCTTTTTCTTGTTGTTTTCTCGGTGTTTCAAGTGTTGCTTCTATGGACCCGATGGCGGATCGAGTTCCTGACTGACAAAGCAGTTTGTTTGGCAAGGTAAAGCTTGACTATTGAGGAGGGAAGTACTGATGATGTAGGAGGAAGCGGTGCTTGCAGTTGTTTTGTGTGCTGATTTTATCACTGGGAAGTGTGCTGTGGTCGTTGCTGCTGCTCACTGGAGTTGTCTGCTTTGCTGATGATATCTCTTCCGCATTCTCGGGGGAAAGATGGCGATATTTATGCCTCGACGCAGAGAGCACCTTTGGATATTTTGATACCACGTCCATCCTGCATATTGAGGAGATGGCCAATTGTCGTGTTGGCATGATTGCTGCCCACCTTCACTGGCCTTGGACGGCACTCTGCCTGTCTGTCTATCTGTCCGGCTCTCCTCTGATCCCCCGGTCTGCTTCTCCTCAGCTTGGCTTCTGTCTGTCTTGACATCTGGTGTGGAGTTGTCTGAGAACCTTTTTCACATTTGCCTCATGCATTCGCAACTTGGCCTAAGCACCCTTGCATGCTGTGTAAATGCGATCCGGTTTAGCACGGTTGACCAGATGTCGTGGACACTCCCTTGGCCAACGACCACCCTTCTGTTCAGTTGAAGATCTATCAATTAACTTTTTAGCCCATGCTCGCCTTTCTCCTAAGGGGGTGTCGCAAGCCCTCTGCATGTCCTTACGTTCTCCTATTCTACTTCATAACCCCTGCATTTCTTGCTCCACCTCGGGCTTTCTCTGAAACTCAACTGTGGGAAGGGAGAGAAAAGAAGCTGGTTGTACTACTCTTGGTCAAAGTGATCTCGCCGACGTGCTGCAGCATCCTAACTGCCCAGTAGGCCCCACACACATTCTTTCCCTGTCATTCCAATATCAAAAGACTATTACAATGAGGCTGGCCACATACTATGTCGTTCACGGGATTCAATCCGATATACCCCTCCCCCCCTCCCCTCCTCCCCTCTCTTCCTTCTTTTCACTGGCCACCAATAGACCGGCTCATTCGAAACGAAGCCGTCTTACATACATTTTCATAGTTGAGCTGCCTCATCCAATTGATATGGTCCATGGGGGTGTTCAGATCACTTTCAGCTCGTTTTCAAGTCAATCAAACTTTCCGACTTTCATTTCTCTCTTCTTCACCCTGCTGCAGTCTATGTGCAGTGTGACAAAGAGAAAATTTCATCACCAGGGCCGGATGATTGATCCCTTCCAATAATTTTAGTCATGGTTAAGTTAAAAACTTTAGTGCCCGTTTTCCCGCTAACGGGCCGGCGAAAAGAAACCAAGCGATACTAACCAATGTCCCCGAGCTACGGTGATTGAACTTTTTTTTCACCCTCTTCTTGCCTATGCACTGGATCATGCAATTGATTGCCTCATCCTTCTCTCGCTTGGAAAAACCAGATTTTGATGTGGCAAAAGAGGAGAAATTCTGACTCCCCCTGTCAAGGAGGCTAGAAGTTTCGTGTGCCTTCCTTGAGCCAGATTGCCCCCCCCCCCCCCCCCCGCGTTCTCAACTGTCTTGACCCTCTTAGAGAATGTGCCCGGTTGTACAAGCCATGGAATGCATGAATCTCAGCTGATCGGATGATGCGGCGTCGATGAACCTAACCAGGCAATTCTAACCCTTCTACCCTCCTCTTCAGGCCTTGCATTAACTACACTAGGACACGCAAACTTGAACACACGGCTTGTGAAAAAGGCAGGCGAGATGGCCCCCCATTCTGTCTTGGACAGGATGGCTCGGGTAAAACGGTTCAGCCTGGGTGAATGACATGGATGATGATGACACCAAGCTGGATTTCTCCAGACGGTCTGACGTGGCAACCTCTGGAGTGATCTGACATTGTCTCCATAATGATCATGATCATGATGATTATAATGATTATGAAGTAATATCAGCTTAGTAAAAGCGACAAGGCCCTATCAAACGATTTCGCCTCGAGTCCCTAGGACAGTGAGGAACGCATCCGAGTTTCACAATGGGAACATTCACCAAGTGATTCCCTGCAAACTAACACATATACGGAGGAATGAAATACCCTAGTTAGGCTATGCTGTCGTTGGCGAGGTCAGTGCCATCGGTATCACAGCACGAAGCACACCACAGCACCATCTACCCTACCTAAGAATCAAGCAGGGATCTTATATGGCCCTCATCCGGCATTTTCTCCCAACCTGTTCGTTTCTGATTGATATCAAGAACCTGACTCTGTCATCTACCATCTTTTGATGGGAAAAGGGTGCAGAACCAAGTATAGCAAATGGGCAGCTACATTCACAGCAGCATGAACGTTGAAATTGAATTTTGGATGCACCGGCCAGCGGATCCATCGCGCTGGGTCGAGGTTACTCAGCTGATCTGAACACGGACTAGCGGAAGCTTGCGCTGCATAAAGTGTCCGAAGGGCAAATCAGACGGGGGGGGAGACACAAGAAAACAACGATCTCCCCCGGAACGCATCTTACATCCCTGACAAACAAGGAGACTGCAGTTTGCAGAGACTTAGTGTTCAAAAGCAAAGAAAGCAAGCGAAAAAAGAAAAAAAAAAAAAAAAAAAAAAAAATTCATGCAATGCAACCAGCTGCACGGCCGGAGCGAACCTTGGGAGGGAACCGTGCCTGATCAATGCTGGCCCACTACCTGCAGCTGTCAGTTGTTTTCTTTTTCTTTTTTTGTCTTTTCTGCTCTTATACTTCGGGCTACAATGAAGACTGAGACAGAGCAAGGCTGATGATCCCTGAGCTGTCAACTGTCAAGCTCGGTCAGCTTCGTTTCTTTTTCCTGTTGGTTCCCTCTCTGTTTACATTTCCGCCTCCTTCTTGCCTCCACACCCATCTGACTTTGAAGGCGTTTGAGTTTGTGTCCTGTTCGAGTTCACTTTCGTTCTCGCTTAGCTTGCTGTCTATTGATGTTGATATTGATGTCGAAGTTGAAGTCTGCTACATGCATGATTCCAACTGCATTGATTTTTTTCTCACCTAACCAACTGTAGCTCAAAAGCACATTTTTTTTTTTCTTTTTTTGACAGTTCAACCCTCCTGTCTGCAGGGTGAATGAGGCTGCCTGCCTACCTACTTACCTCCTTTACCTTCCCTGGCTGTTCTCCCTGGCTGCTGAGGACCATCGTATCCAACGGCTAAGCAGGGTCTAGTTGTTGTCTTTGTCCACGCAGATCGGGCACTTTTGGCTTTCCCTTGACTATCTCTCTGTCTGCTACGCCGCAGGAAGGGCCTCCAGCTTGTCAATGGTCTAGCAGTCTACCTGTTGACGTGGCTAGTCTGCTTTGCTCAACCATGGAAAGGCTGTGGACTGAATAATGAGTCAGGCATCACCACTTCTCCCTCCGCCAACTACTGCATCCTGCACCTCTAGCACTTCCACTACAACTTCTTTAGCTAGCTGCCCACTGACGGCATCTAACTACTATCTGCATCAATTGCATGAGGCTTAAGCTCTCCACTTTCCACCTAGCTTGCCTACCCATGTCTTCTGCCTCACTTCTACCTAAGAGCCTCTATGCACGCTGCCTGACTGCGCCCCGTCTAGTCTAGCAATCACCATGGCTATCCATCGACGAGGCCTGTCTACCAGGTCTACCAAGCAACCATGCTCCTGTCTACGGCGCATCGCCCCCTTATCCTTGTCCCCTGACGTCTAGCGTCTTACCTAAGCAGTAACTCGCTAGTTACCTCGGCACCCCATATCAAGGAAGAGCTCCACGTGACATGACGTCAGCATCTGCAGCAAAAGAAGGCGAGGGGGAAGAGAGGAGCATCGAAGCATTCAGGAAGACATCTATCAACAGCAACATCTATCTGCCTATCCAAACTGTCTATCAAAATAAAGACCTATCTTCCAAGCTTTCTAAGAACACACTCCTAGAAGAGCCATCTATCAGGTGATCATCATGCTGCAACTTCGCCTCCTACGACCAAGTCTAGGAAGTCTGTCACTACTACCAAGTCTAAGACTACGTCCGACTGCTGGAACAACGAGACAGGCCAGCAGTAACACTAGCGACGGCATCAACACCGACCGAGGCGAGTACTCCAAGACAGGCGGGGATAGCGAGGTTGCTTCCCAACGAAGCGCCTACGACATCTGCTACCGCGACCCTGCCGACGTCCGGACAGCCTCTGACCGCGAGGAAGAAGCCAACGGCCACCGCGACCGGCGCCCGCTGGAGGTCAGCCCGGCCAACAGGGAGGTCTCCCGCTTCACCGACGAAGGAGGAGGGCAGCACGACGAAGAAATCCGGCCGAGCAGGAGGGTGTCGCCGCGCAAGGGCAAGCGGGTGGACTACGGAGGAGCAGACATTAGCAGCCATCCCAGCAAATAATCCAACTATCTCCTCTGTACTTTTTTCCATATTCTTTACTACTCTTTGTTGTCAAGTATCTGCCATCTACAACTTCTTAATACTGCTGCTTGCTTCTATGCCTCTATACTTTCACTACCTTGACTTTTAGGGCTTAGGGCTAGGGCTTTCCCCTGTATTACTAATTTCCCCGTGCTGACTAAGATCACGCAATCCCCTGTTGAAATTTACAAAGCAGGAAAGCGCGCAGTTGGCCGAAAGCGGCAGGAGCAGTACGGCGTAACAGTGAGTAAAAACAGCTGAAGATGGCGTGATAGAAAGGGGGGAAAAAAAAGGGCGCTTAGCAGCAGAGATGAGATGAGATAAGATGAGATAGATAAGGGGGAGGACTTCACTTCCTCCTCTTTACCTCACTCTTGACTCTCTCTCACTCTGCTGCTACCCCTTACTTTCTGCACTCTCTTGCTCTTCACTCTTTCTACCATATTACCCCTGGCTGCGACTGTTGCCACCACTGCCACCACCACTGCGGCCTCCTATGACCTCTGCTATGGCCTCTACTATGCCATCTACCAGACTCGGGGCTGGTAGCCTCGCGCTGGGCTTCCTCGGCGAGAGACAGAAGCTCAAGAGAAAGAGAAGCGACAAGGAAAGAGACAGGGCAGCCAGAGTGATCGTACCGGTCAGGGCTCTGGGCTGTGTCCGGGCGAGTCTCGAGCAGGCCGCCTTGCTCTCCCTACCACTGGTGGTGCATCTAGTAGGAGAGGATGATGACAGTGTCGAAGACAGTGATGCCTGCATCGAGATGGCAGCAGAGCTGGGTGTGACCCTGATAAGCTGCCAGGAGGGAGACGAAAAGAAGACGACGGCATTGGCGGTGCAGGTTGCTCCGTCAATGGTGCTTCACAAGGATGCAGCAAAGATACCAGCGGAAGAAGATGCAGTCTATGACTTGCCGCAGACAACAGGGGGAGAACTCAAGACCAGTAACAAGTACGAGTATCACGGGCCTTCGGATGCTGTCTCCGTGGTAGCTGTCTTTGGCCATGCTGCTGCCAGTGATGCTCTCAGGACGACAGGACTGTTGGTGGTCAAGACCTGGCCGGCGGGGGCAGACGAAATGGCGAAGGTCCTTCCAGAGACAATCAAGACCGTGGGGGTCCTTGGAGGCCAGCAGGAGTCGCTATTCAGACAAATGCTCCCTCTCGGCCTTAGAGTGGCCCTGGTAAGCCTGACCAGCAGGACTCTTGGTGACTTTACCGGAAGCGAGGTTGAACAACAAAAGACCGTCGAGAAGGAGAAAATAGACATAGCCGAAGAAGAACAAGAAGAAGAAGACAAGGTAACTGTTGAAGATGTTACTAAGGGGCTTCTCTTCAAGGAGGCTCTTGGGGCAAAAACGACCTTACCAAAACTCCCAGCAAAGACCTACGCTGTCACCGTCAAGGAGAACCGCAGGCTCACTCCAACACACTACCACCGTCATATTTTCCATCTGGAGCTAGACCTGGGTGACTCTGGCTTGACATACGAGATAGGAGAGGCCCTAGGAGTACATCCCGAGAACTCTTCTCAAAATGTGCAGGAGTTTGCTGCCGCTTATCCCTTAGATCTGGATGAGATAGTCAGTTACCGGACAGAAGAAGGCAGGCAGACGCAGACGACCTACCAGGCACTCAGAAGGCTCGACCTTTGGGGTCGGCCGCCCAAGAAATTCTACCTCGACCTTAGCGAACATGCTACCGACCCCAAGGAGAAGGAGAGACTTGCTCACCTTGCATCTCCGGCGGGCAAAGACGAGTTCAAGCAGCGTTCAGATGTTGACATGTTGACGTACGAAGACATCCTCCTGGAGTTCCCCTCGGCCAGACCTACATTCACCAGTTTAGCCGCCATGGTAGGCCCCGTCAAGCGACGAGAGTACTCCATTGCTTCCTGTCAACGCCTAGCACCCTCCATCGTGGCCCTCATGGTCGTCGTCGTGGGCTGGACAGACGGACGTGGCAGAGCTCGCTCAGGTCATGCATCTACCTACCTCTCCAGACTGTCCCCCGGTGCCCCCCTGACGGTCAGCGTTAAGCCCAGCGTCATGAAACTCCCTACCGACCCCATGGCACCGCTCATCATGGCTGGACTGGGCACCGGGCTCGCTCCCTTCCGCGCATTTGTCCAGCACCGAGCCCTGGAGAAGGCTCTGGGCAAGGAAGTTGGTCCTGTGCTGCTGTATATCGGAGCCCGTCACCAGCGAGAAGAATACTGCTACGGCGAAGAGTGGGAGGCCTACGCTGCCTCGGGCGTCATCACTCTGCTTTCGACCGCCTTTTCACGAGACCAGCTACACAAAGTCTACATCCAAGACCGCATGAGACAGACCCTTCCCCAGATAGCCGATGCGTACCTCGCTAAGCACGGCTCATTCTACCTGTGTGGGCCGACGTGGCCTGTTCCCGACGTTACCGCCGTCCTTGAGGAAGCGGTAGCGTCTCTTTCCACAGACACCAAAATAGACACCCGCGCTGAGATGGACCGGCTTAAGGACCAGCACCGCTTCGTCCTGGAGGTCTACTAAACCCACTTTCGGATAATTAGTAATTTTTTTAATACTTTTCTTCAAAAATTAGAATGATTTTTTTTTTTTTTTCTTGTTCATGTCTTTTTGGTCTTCCCGAATGCTCCCCCTTTAGCTCGCCGTAGTTCTAGTGCCCGCTTATATGGCGGTGCCGTCGGCTTCTGCACCGGATCCAGACTCACATGGTCTTCCGGCAATTCATAAGACGCATCTGCGTCCCAACCGCTCACATCTCCACACGCCACGAAGCGCGCCATATACCGTTCCGTAGACGTAGTGCCCGTAATAGCGCGCTGCGGGCTCCCCTTGTAGTCTCGACACACCACGAATGCCTCAAGACTGCTCGCCCGGCTGCTCCTGGGTTTTGCAACAACCACTCGTCCAAACACGCTCTTGAGCTGTGCATATAACACATCCACGTCCCGCCCTCTAAAGATCTTCGCTACAAACGTCCCACCAGGCCGGAGTATTCCCATGGCCAGGTTCAGCGCCGCATACAGCAACTGACTCTGCACATATATGTCCAGATCGTGCAGGCCAGTAACGTCGGGCGCTCCATCGGACAGTACCAGGTCGACTTTCTCCTCCTCTCCTTCATCGTTGAGGGCATTTAGGAGCAATGGCACCGTGCTCGGATGCGTGATATCAGCCTGTAAAGTGGTGATGCCCTCCAGCGGCGCCATGGGCTGTAAATCCACTGAAACAATCTTCACATCTCTCCGCGGCCGCACCTCCTCGGCGACATCCCCCGTGCCTCCTCTGTCCAGCTCGTATTGTCTCCTACCGAATGACTCTCCGCGGATTAGCACACGGCTGAGCACCTGGCTCCAGCTGCCTGGTGCAGCGCATAGGTCGACCACACGCCGCACGCTATCGGGGTCAGAGTGGGCGAATAAGTCGAATTCCTCGTCAAGGTGGATGAGTTTGAAGGCTGAGCGGGCGCGCCAGTTTTGTTCTTTGGCCAGACGGTAATAGGCGTCACGCTTGTCCTTGGAGGATTTCCCCATAGCGGGCCGTCACCATAAGCTACGTGCTGTCAGTGCTTCGTTGGGTATTCAACCGCCGTCGTCGTAGGCGACTGTGATAGATTTCTATCTTATCTCTCGTTCAAATATGGGTTGTTGCGAATTGTGATATGGAAGATGATTGGTCGGCGAGGTAAAATGCCCTCCACGACCCGATTAGGCTTAGACCAATGGGAGGTCTTGATGACTAATAAAGATTTAGAGTTTCTCTTGCAGATAAGATAAGATGTCTTGGCATTGACTTTTTTTTCCCCTTCTCTTTTATCGACAACGACGTGGGCGATAAACAATAGCTAGCTACATACATTAACAGCATCGGGTCATTAATGCTGCCATGGCAAACAAAAAAAGGCAGACGAAACCCGCGGAACCGCCGAAGAAGCGACTCAAGACCAACAATTCCGATAAAAGCAACGGTACCGCTCTGACAGAAGAAGTTACCAACATCAATGCGTTGAACTGGCAGACCGTGCAGCCTCCTGATATTCTTGAGGATGCAGAGGGTTTCTACGGCCTTGAGGAGATAGAAGGAGTGGATATTATTAGGCCTGCGGATGGGGAGCAGTTGAAGTTTTTGGTCAGTCATTACGGTCCTTGGTGAGAAATGGCGTGGTATGCTAATGTTAGATGTAGGCTGCAAAGAGCAGTATTAAGACCGGCGACAACGAGGAATTGGATGATGATGACGATGGAGAAGAGTGGGAGGGTTTCAGTGATGAGGTCAAGCAACAGCCTGAGCCAGAACAACTGCCATCCAAATCAACGGAAAATAAGAAAAAGAAAGATAAGAAGGAGAGAGAAAAGCCTAGGCAAGAGAAAGACAATGCTAAGGTCCAATCGATACCCTTCAGCGTTCTGAATGAAGCCAACGAAGAGGCTGACATCGATGTTTCAGCCTGGGATTCCCTTGATCTACGTCCAGAGCTCCAAACAAGCCTCTCCCGCCTCAGGTTCGCCCAACCAACTCCCATTCAAAAGGCAACCATACCCGAAATTCTGGGCGGACGGGATGTTATTGGTAAAGCAGCCACGGGTTCGGGTAAAACGCTTGCTTTTGGCCTGCCAATATTACAGTGTTTGCTAAACAGACAAGAACAACGCCCTTCCACCTCATTAGCTTTATCGAAGTCCGGTGATAAAAAGCCAATAGCGCTCATCCTCTCGCCTACCCGCGAATTAGCACATCAGCTCGTCAAGCATCTGAAAGAAGTTACCAGCTCCGCTCCTAACGTTGATGCATACATCGCCTCCGTTACAGGTGGGCTATCCGTGCATAAGCAACAACGCCAGCTCGCTGAAGCAGACATCATAGTCGGAACCCCTGGCCGGCTTTGGGACATGGTTAGCTCCACTCCTCAGATCCTCACCAAGTTGCGGTCCATCAAATTCCTTGTCGTCGATGAAGCAGACCGGCTACTTAGCGAGGGCCATTTCAAGGAAGTTGGGGAGTTACTTTCCGCTCTTGACAAGACGAGGACATCTGATGAAGATGTTGACGAAGCCCCCGAAGAGGAAGAAGAGCCGGCTGGCAGACAAACATTAGTCTTTTCTGCGACATTTCAAAAGGGGTTACAGCAGAAACTCGTGAAAAGAGATCATTCATTCCATGATAATCTTCTGGATAAAAAGGAGTCGATGGAGTATCTTCTCAAGAAACTCCGGTTTAGGGATGAGAAGCCTCGTTTTATCGATGTCAATCCTGTCTCACAGATGGCAGATAACCTCAAAGAGGGTATAATTGAGTGCTCTGCCATGGAGAAGGTGACTTTAACCCCAAATATTATTTTAAAGATCGTCATGCTAACGTTCATCAGGATCTTTACCTCTATTCAGTGCTGCTCTTCTATCCAAAACACCGCACCCTAGTCTTTACTAACTCTATCTCCTCCGTGAGGAGACTAACTCACTTCCTCCAAAACCTCAACCTCCCTGCCCTCTCCCTGCATTCTTCCATGGCCCAAAAAGCGCGCCTTAGGGCGGTTGAACGTTTCTCTTCCTCTACAGCTGACCCTTCCCCCATCCTCATTGCCACTGACGTTGCTGCCAGAGGCCTAGATATGCAAGGCATCGACCTAGTGATCCACTACCACGTCCCCCGTACGGCAGATACTTATATCCATCGATCTGGCCGCACCGCCCGCGCCTCAGCATCCGGAAAATCGATCCTAATATGTGCCCCTGAGGAAACCGCAGGCGTAACCCGCCTCGTCGCCAAAGTTCACCACACACAAAAACGCAAGACTTCGTCCAAGGACGTTCAGCTACACTCCATCCACCTTGACCGCGGAATCGTAACCCGTCTTCGCCCACGCGCAAACCTCTCCAAAAAGATAACAGAATCCGCTCTCGCCAAAGAGAAAATCTCTTCCGAGGCGGACTGGTTACGATCTGCCGCCGAAGACCTGGGCGTAGACTACGACAGCGAAGAATTCGCTGAGCAAGAGTCAAAGAGTCGTGGTCGAGGCAGAGGTGGCGGGCGCCAGGCTAAGGAAAGACAGGCAAGCAATGTGTCCAAGGCGGAGATGGCGAGGCTACGTGCTGAACTACGTGATCTTCTTTCCAAACGGGTCAACCTGGGTGTCAGCGAGCGCTACCTTACGTCCGGCAGAGTAGATATTGATGCTTTACTGAAAAGCGAGGGGAACCCAGCGTTCTTGGGACATGTCGAGAAACTAGATTTTTAATCAGACTTCTTCTCGAATAGCAGCATATTGTATATGGCCTCCATTTGTTTTTTTATATTCGCCGCCGTAGTTACCTGGCGGCTTTTCCTCCGTAAGCGGTATTAAATGAAAATTACGCTCACTGAACAATATTACATACAACAGCCGCCGAAATAGGTGTAAATATCAATTAGTCATCAATACCATGTGTTTTCCGTTAACCGTCCGTCCCTGAACTTCCAACATAAAACCATCGAAACCATTTTCTCTTCGTTCTGAGGCAGCCCGAGGACCGTCCAAGAGAAAGCCTGGGGTTGTCTCCAGCCCTGAACAGAAGTCGACGACACCGCCATGCATCATCATGCGTAGACTCGACATTAACGACTCTATAATATAAACGCTTATGCATTCCATAGCCACCATCGCTTTCCCAGCTTTTACCGATCCAACAACTATCTACGTTGCAAATTGTTTCTAAATGCTAACAGACAAAATCATACCTATAGCTCCTGCGCTGTGTCCGAATCAAAATCCATATTAACGTCCAAAGGCTCTTCATGCACTTCCAGAAAATCGAACAATACTCCTTTTCCCTCCGGCAGTGCTTGCACTGCGAGGTCATCAGCAACAACACTCAGCCCATCCTCGTGGATCAACAGAGTGTGTACCTTGCCCGTCGTCTTGAATTTCCACTTCTTCACCAGGGCGTCGGTGAAGGCTTTCGCTGTTAGCTGCTGGATATATATTGCGTGAAAGTAACCTTCATTCCCTCTGTTATTTTGCCGTCGTTGCACATAAAAACAATATTCTAAAGAAAATGTAAGTATGAAAGCTAGCAAAAGTCATACATTGAGGTAAGGTATATTTACTTGGATCTTTTATTGAAGCTTTGCTCTCCGTTTCGGCGTCTGGCCCAAGGGCATCAGCACTAGTCCGTCGTGTATCCATCTCCAAGGGGAACAGGTCCATGTCATCTTGAGGCTCTCCCCTAAGATTAAGGATGCTGACTTCCCGCCTGGACATAGTCTTATCCGTCAACCGCTTCAGCTCCATACGAAGATCATCCTCAAAGGGCCCTTTCATTGCAAGGTCCTGGCCATATGACCATGGGATTTTGGAGCATTTCCGTGTCTTTGTCGTGGACTCGTTTCCAGTGATCAATCCAGACCCATTGCACCTTTTTCGCTTGCCACCATTGGAAGTTCCCAGTGTAGCTTCGGAGATCTGTTCCTTCACCTGTTGAATAAGTTTTTTCACATGGATAAGGTCATTTGAAAGCTTCCTCTCCGCCCCATGATCTCGAAATAGCTTGACTTTACAGTAGCTAATTTCAGAGTAGTTTGACGCTCCAGGCATCTCGTGAGACGATGAAATCGCCTCCGTCTTTGCACAGAGTCTGAGGGGAACTCCCTTCACTCCCTTGGAATAACTAAAACTCGTCGACACAAAGTTGAATCGAACATATATGGCGCAGTCTCGCCGATTATTAATCTGATGAGGCGTCCATATTACCGAAAATCCGTCGAGGCTGTTATGTTCTAGTTGAACTTGCCGATACCGAGGCTGCAAATCTTCACCCTGGCTGTGTGGTACATATTCAACTGCCAGCAGTGTGCTCTCACTCTGATAAGCCCTGTTGGCACCACGGCCCTCTTGCCATAATTTCCAATAGCTCGCCGGCTTTAAACGTTGTTTCTCGTCGTCAAAAGTTATCCGTACCGTGGTACGATACTTTGTAGGATAATGACCACCAACGTCCGAGACACCGGCATCAGATATGGTCAATGTGTATATCTGGCCTTTGTTAAGGTAGGTTATGGGTATATCATCTGGACCCTGCACCATGGCAGTGGCTGCATGCAATGTGGAGTGGAACCGGAAACTAGACAAAATACCCCAGAGTTAGCGCGCTAAGTTACCATATTCTGCCGGGCATTGGAAGGAGCTACTCACTCATCACCAAAGTCAGAATTCCTTGGGGAACCTGCTGACTCTCTATGACCATTAGCCGTCACACCAGCTGCGTCACGGCCAAGGTGCAGACCATTCGGTACGTTGCTCAAGGTACTGAGGTCCGGCATGCCGTGAAGAAGGGTGGCAGGTGCATTGATATTGCGCTGTTCAATCTCACCCGCCGAGAGGCCCGTTTCAAACGACACCGGCATTTGTGGCAAAGCAGCCGCCGAGTCCACGGCGGAGTGTGATAACAGAGACTGGTCCATAGACGAAGTGCAAGGTATCGTATTTGAATCCACAGCATCAAATGTTACTGGCTGGGTTAAAAGATCAATGGAGCGATTTTTATCAGTCAATACTTCTTCAGGGGTCTTGCAGGGGTTGCATGACGGGGATATATTGGTAAATGTCGAGAAAGGGACGTCGTCGGGGTACACAAGTGGCTGTGTGAGGGCCAACTGGTCAAGCTGGACTTTTAATGCGGGATTATATAAATTAGAGCCGTCCGGTCTGCGTCAGGAGCCTTATTAGCCCGTCACCAACATACGCTAGGGATGACCTGAGATGATGAAAGGGGCCGCTGTCTTGTAGCGAGTCCATGCGACTAACCTCTGACATGGTAGTTGTTTGAGGGAGGGACTTGGTATAAATGCTTTTGAGTTCTTTGAGTCACCAGCTTTGAAATTGGCGCTTGCGTTGGGATATTTCTGTCTAAAGTGAGTGTATAGTGCCTCGTCTGGCTTCTGTGAACTTCTTCTATGGTCATATCGGCGGCTAGTTAATTAACCTATCATGCAACAGACATTCAGTGGGAGGCCAACAGCCCTTTCATAAGTACGTACCGACTCCTTAACATGATGCAGGCGTATGTTGAATAACCCCTAGATATTGCTCAAGTTTATTCAGGCGTGAGGTACTTGGTCAAGATCCACGAAGAAGTTCGAGATCGATTTAAATGCCATATCCCATGCATATATATAGTGGGACAGGCCGCTAGCAGTTCCCATGGCAGCTGAACCTAAGAATCTATATAATCAACGTATGACGGAATGTATATTTCCTTCGTTCTTCTCCAGAACGCTAGTTAGCTATTATCTATCCGATCCCAAGCCAACTGCTCCGCAAATGGTTACATCCATGCAACTGATCCACAGAGACAAAGCATATCAGAGAACAGATCTGCACCGGGTGCAGAAACATTGCGTCACTAAATAGGGCTCCGAACGCCCATTTGTCACTTTTGAACGGAGTAGACCGTTTGTATCTCATGGGAGGACCATGTAGACGTGCTGAGCTAAACCGAGACGCGGCCAGCAACCCCTTGCAATAGGGTGAATCCGAAGTTTGATACAGTGAACTTTCCCCTTAGTTAATAATGAGCTGCATCATTTAGTTGCTTGTCCTACGGATCTTGCTTCCAAAAGAGACCAAACGTCATTTGGCAGATACTCGATGTTGGCTGTACCTTCGTCCCCACGGTACCCGCATCTTAACACCAGCTACAAGCCATCCATTCTAGGAGAAAGGTACATGAAAAGGAAAAAGAAAAGAAAAGATAAAATAGGCGAGGACGAATATATAAATCTCGCAAGGTCCATGCATAGGTAGAAGCTATCGGGTATTGAGATCAAAATAACGCTTAACCAGGCCGATTTAGCTCTAATACAACATCGCGTGTCGCCTGTAGTCGTATCTCCAGAGAGCTATGATCCGTAACACCCGAGGGAGCAGGGCATAAGGTTGTAGACAGGCTAGGAATGGGGCCAATCGGGAAACGAAGGACCCGCGTGTGTTTCGAGAAACAGGCTGCATGAAGTGCATAGAAGCGGATCAAGGTAGTCATAAATGGATCTTCGGCTCAGGAAAACACCTTGCACTTACTATGTGCAAGTATAGCTCCACGCTTCCCCTCAAGTCAAAATACATGCCGGGTTAGCCCTTGCCCAAGCTCCCTTGAACGGGTTACAACTTGATCCTCCTTATGACTTCTGTGTCTACTGCAGCGTTTTTTCCGTTCATATCAAGATCTTTGGACGCTATATTAAGGTTGATGTTGGATTTGTGCATAACGAGTTTCCTGATATAGGTCCCGATGGTATGTTTTTGCTGTGTCAGGTTACCAATGCTGTCTTGGTTCAAACAATATGCACGCGTAAGCTGGCGCATAATAAGCCTTCCAATCACTATCACATGGAGCCGTCTTCCAGCTAGACGTTTTCGAGCACCAAATGCCGTCGCTGTAAGTAACAAAGTTAGGTCGGTGACTATCCCCACATAGACCTAGAACAGTCAAGGTATCCTGGAATCTAGGAACTACGAGAGCTGAAGAGCTGAGGTGATTTTCTGTCTTTTGCCCCTTGTTTTCAAACGGCAAGAGAATGCCACGTTCGATTGTAGAACCCTTTTAGGCCAGGATATCTTTCTTGATAACGTCACAAGCGGTTCAGCTTCAGTTTGACTGGTTTTAAGGTTGAAGAATCAGCCTTGTACAGGGGTTGCCAGTTAATTAAATAATACCAACTGGTCTGTTGATACCAAAGGGTGTGTAGTACGATGTAAACAAATGGTTCGCGCCAAACCCAGCAACCAGAGACCTCATGAACCGACAATACAAACATCGCACGCCAGTGGAATAGCCTTCTCGCAAGAGGAACTAATTATTAGCCTCGGCGTTCAATACACTTAGGGCTTCAGTTTCTGGGTCTCTCATCGAGCTACATGGCCTGCTCCCTTGCCGGCCCCAGCCCGAATGTGGGCATATCGGAGCTCCAGTCCGCAACTCTGCTAGACGTGAAATTGGGACAGGGATCCTCGGCCACACTCTCTGGCTTCTGACTGGGTGAGGGGTTTGAGAACTGAACCAGAATCTTGGCTGGAGGCTGTCAGCAAGAAAACCCACAGTGGAGGGCCAGTGATGACCGGGGCCACTGGAGCCAGGGGTAATCAGTACAGTAGTTCGAGTTGGATATCGTGGGTGTGCAGTGATCCGGGATAAGGGCTGGTGAAATAGCAACCGCTCCCGGACCCCATCATGGTCTTGACACTCGAGCAGCACAGAAGGGACTTAAAAGGCCGATGATCTCGAAGAGGGTACCGTAAAGTAGAGTATGTGGGATAAAGCAGGAAATGTCCGCCATTGGGCATGCATCATGACGTTCCATATCACTCAAGCCGGTGTTTGAAGTCAAGAAAAAAACCAACCTTGTCCAAGGCGGCCTCGGCTTGGCGGGGTTCCCATTACTAATAGCGTTCGTTCTTAGTAATGAAACAGGGGTTATGTAATAAAACGCGAACCACTCTCGGCTTTTCTCCACAAGCGCGCGCTAGGCTATTTTTGGCGTCAAAACTTGGCTCCCGGCTTGGCATCCGCCCTTCCTGCCCAAAGCTCCCGACGCGCCCCCCCGCATCCCACGTGTTGATGGCCAGTGCCTTCAAGATTCGCACGGCTCTTGAATCGCCCGAATCATCCTGGCAGCAAGACAATGAGCAGATATCAGTGGCAAACACTGCTTTCCCGAAATCTAGCATATGGAGCCTCAGAAATCTGCGTCTTCTTCTATGTTGTTTTTTATTAGTGGAGTTATTCATTCTAGACCTCTCCTAGGATGGCGCAGTTTGCGTGGAACAGGGCTACCCAAGAAGTATGACTTCATATGCGAATATTATTAAAGAGGAGGGGGAGTCGATTACTACCGATTTGGAATCCTCTATATGAGGAAGTAAACATCCCCATAATTATTACGTATGTATGACTTCATAGTGCTCTAGTATTCCTCTGTACCTTCACCCGTTTTCGTGAGCAAGTGTCCGCGCTTGTCAGGCCACTTTTACCTTCGAAACTCATAGGACATCAAAGGTGAACTCCTCTGGCAACAGTTATTGCCTCAATTTTGGATATAAAGAAGTCATGGAGAAAGCCAACAAGGATTGTTTTCAGACGCGGATAATGTAAACAACAATTCGCTGAGAACCAACATATTGTGAAACAATAGCCCTCAGCAACCCACAACAGCCCCACGCTACGCCTCACAATGCCTCAATACAGACAGGGACAGAATGTTTTATATAAGCCTGTGGGAGGTTCGTATCACGAGCCCAATTGTTCCTTAATCTTGTAATGCTTCTAATGTAATGCTGTAGGCCCCGAGTCTCAAACCTCGGAGAGTGTTGGTTGCATCATGTCTGTCCTGACGCAACCCGGGACTCAAGCGGGGCGTAACGTCGATGCGAGCCGGTCTCATCCCCGTTATGAGGTAGGATACTACCCTACAAAAGCACAGGTTGTGAACTAACAGTAAAGTGTAGATTGAAAACCAAAACACTGGAAAGTCGACCTCAGTTTATGAGGAGAATATCTTGGGCACTGTTTGAGAGTGATAGCTACAAAAGATGCAAAGCTTTGATACCAGGACTATCACACTTCCCCCTTTCATTATAGTTGTTGGCTATATAACTCCTACACTCGTTAAAATTATAAAAAGTATAGTTGGTTCATAGAACCCTCAACAAATACTATCCTTAGTTCTTACTTCTGCCCATATGAATTCCTTGTTTTTGGTTACAATTACACCGTAGATATGTTATATGTATGACCGACTAGGAGTTGCTACTGTGTCAATTGATCCCGCTAGAAAGGCGAATACTGATTATTAAAAAAAGTCAATGGGCTATTTGTAAGTAATTTTACTTGAACTATATTTCAAGAGCCTCGAGAATGCGGCATACCGGTTTGCTCTGCAACTCCAGATTTTACAAAAGTCAAAAGGCCGACATGAGCCTTGTGTAACCGAAAATCATACTCAAAGACGCTACTTAACCCAAAAGACTAAAATCATTCCAATTTTTTCCATTTTAAAGAAAATAATGAAGAAAAATTGTGTAACTATTGCTTGATGATCAGTGTGCTGAGGAATCTTGGAGCTATCAATTATCTGTCTACCATGAGGGCATTGCAATGTTAATCATAACCATAGAGGCTGGAGGACATCGGAAATATTAACAATTAGGGCGGTTGAAGTTGCTGCTTTTTGCGGTTCCGCTTATGAATATAGAAACATGGTGTTTGCTCCCGCAAGCAGTGAGCGCATTGAGGATAACTTTGATCGCACACTATATTAACACGCGTACATGTTGTGCAGGGAAATTTGGACCGTTGGATAACGATATCTGGAACAAAAGACTCGGATTCTGCAGCGGTATTAGAGCAATAATGTTCCTTAATTAGGTAGGATGCACCGCGCATACCAGGTGCCTGTGCAACATCACACGTTTGGTTGGGACTTATGTCCCTAACTCGAAATAAGTACTGAAGGAGCTTAAACATCACTCTTTCAAGCCTTTCTTCTCTGGTAGGATAGAATTTCTAGATAGAACTTCACAAGGCTAAGATTGAGCGCTTGCGTGTATGGTATTCACTTAGTTTAGTCATTTATTGGCAAGGAATGAGGAAGCACCTTCGGGTGAGTGTCTCCCTTCTCTCTATTTATCATGGAGCAGCTGATTTTTGCCAAGTATGTGCCGCCGTGTGTAACTAATTATGACGTGCGGCTCGACCACTAGGCTGGGGATCGGCAACCTTAGTTATCCAGTGTCAATCAATCCCAACAATTGAATTTAGCTTTTGGCATCTGTGTGATCCCAAGGATGCAGATAATTACATCATCAGACACACCTCAACCAAGGTCTCCTACCAAGTATGATGCCCGGTAACGGGAACATCTCGAGATTGGTAGCCCCTATGATTTCATAGAAAAATTGATTCGCATATATATATATCCCCCTTATTGAAATGTCTGTGTGACCATCTTAGAATTGAATTTAACAATATATCCTTTTCTCTACTGTCTTTAAAAGAAGTAACGAGAGGGTTTGATATACCATGACATCTACGAAGGATCTCACTCAAAACCGACTCTTCGATGTCAAGGGATTCGTGGCGGTGGTGACAGGTGGTGGATCCGGCATTGGTTTGATGGCAACCCAAGGGCTTGTAGCTGGCGGTGCACGCGTCTATATCGTTAGTCGCCGTAAAGAAGTCTTGGATGATGTGGCAAAGAAGTACTCGCAAACAGGGCCAGGGGAGATTTTTGGGTATATTATCACCATATAAAGAAACATAATAATGATGGAAACTAATGTTTAATTAGCATCAAGGCGGACATTAATGATCCCAACGATATTGAAAACCTCGCAAAGGAATTAGAGACCAGAGAACCGAAGGGAATCAATATTCTTATTAACAATGCAGGAGTGACCCAAGAGGCGGAGAAAAAGGGTCATGCATCATCGGTTGACTTCCATTCCGCGGACTCGGTGCGCTCCTGGCTTGAGGGCAATGGAAGAGATGTTTGGCAGCAAACGTTAGCTTCAAACTTGATATCACATCATTTTGTCACTGCAAGGCTTATTCCGGCTCTAGATAAGGGAAGTAGTATCGTCCCAGGGTATTCTTCTTCTATTATAAATATCTCCAGTATCTCAGGGACGGTTAAATCGACATCAGCAGGCCAGTATGCCTACGCCGCAAGCAAAGCAGCCTTCACGCATCTGAGTCGCCAGCTGGCACACACACTATATCCACTCTGTATTCGGGTCAATTGCATTGAGCCGGGTTTATTCCCAAGCGAAATGACCACCGGAGGCTCTGACGAGAATCAAAAATCAAAGATAGAAGGCGCGGGCAGCAAATTCCCAGCAGGTATATTCTCTTTTCTGCTTTCCGTGGATTGAATGGATACTTAGAAGAATAAATAGGTCGAACTGGCCAGGAAGCTGATATCGCAAGCGCTGTGTTATACCTTGGTAGCCGTGCTGGCACATTCGTTAACGGAGAAACAATTCATGTAGATGGAGGTATGCAAAATGGGTAGCGAAAATAATCGTGATGTTATCGCTGGCTAACAAGGTATATAGGAGCCTTACTCCAGTCACCCTCCACTGCATGAAGAAGAGTGATTGATTGAATGGGCTTCCAAAAAAGTTACGGATATGAATGATTAGTTGGCAGTTATATATAAAATTGGGATTTCTCACCAGCGACCTTCCCATCGACTCTTTTCAATTGTGCAAGGTAGCTTGAAGGCTTAAGAGTGGTCGAAATAGAGTTCCTATCTACGCCTATATAGGTAAGATACCCTGCGGGTAAATGCTTTCCCGAGTAGTTAGTTATTCTGAAACTTTAACTAATTTAGCCTCGAAGTTAAAATTTCTATCCCATTGACCTGTATGTTGAATATGGATAGGGGGTTATTGATAGTATGATGAACGGAAATGAGAGCCAGTTTAGAAACTATTCAGCTTTATAATTTAACCACCCATGTTGTATCTTGTCTGCTTTTTCAAAAACAACAAGGCCAACTGGGGCTAAGAGCTAACTCGAGACCTTAATGAAAAGTCATGACAGGAAAGAAATGTTATATGAAAGTGCTCAGGCTTTCTCAAGCTCTCATCAATAATCAAGTAAGGGGCTTCTGTCTGTACCTCTGTGTAGGTGGGGTTATATAATACGTGAGTCGCGTTTATTTCATACAAAAGACGGTATAACGGGAATATGGGCGCGAATGTCAAGTTACATACGAGGTTGATAGAAGCGTTTCGAAGTGTTTGAAGGAGAAGCCCTAACATATTACCGGGACGCTATTTACAAAGTAAGAGATTGACTGTATGGTTCCTGAATGACCCACGTCCGGGACTACAACACAAAGCTGGGTTATCAAAAGTGCATGAATCTCAGTCGCTTGTTTGAGTACAATTTATGCTAGGGCTTTTATAGACCGAGTCTTCTGCAGAAGAAGACCATGACCTGTTTCGCGTACGACTGAGGCCGGCAGTAGCGTATGTTGCTGCAACCACTCTGTCACGGGGTACTGGCCGTGGAGCCTGGTACGTATAAGGGTTGAAATCAGGATATTTCCTAGCTGACTTTCCGAAGCACATAACTGGAGAAAAAAAAAAAAAAAGCACTTCGTTGTGTGTGCCGTTTTAAACAATATGGAGGAGACCGGTGTAGCCGTAAGTATAGATCAGCAAAACCGGGAGTACCTGACAGCGACGTATCGTTGTGTAGACTGGCTCCAAGGATTAGTCCTTGTCAGTAGCTATATAAAACATTGAACACTCTCGTTTGTTTTTTGGGGATTTAGAATGCCATACTTTTATGTAGGTGACTGCAATCATCAACCAACATACAGTGTAGGTGTAGTTCAGGAATGCTTTCAATGGTTGATGAATAAAGGTTTTCAAAGAGGGTTATGGGAAGAAGTAGTAGGGGAATCCCTCTCCTTAAATAGCTACTTGCAAATCACTCTGCAATCCAGTAAAGTATTGACATGCACGTATCGAACGTGAAAATGTTGCCTATCATCTGGTAGGCTTCACTGAAGGTGATATGTACCAGCTTGTAAGAACTCAAGAACTGGATGCGTCATAATAACCAGCAGGAGCGATGATTTCGCCACCGTAAGAGAGTTTCAAGAGGGTATGTCTCAAAGAAGTAAGGCGCGGACTTAGATTTTTCGGCTACACAACGATAACAGCCAGCAGGTGAGCTACACTTCTCGCCTACGTGAAGGGGTTAGCAGCGGTGTTGAAGCTGGGTGAACCAGACCTAGCACTTACCAGGTCATCCCAGATTTTTCCAAAGCTGGAGTACTGATGGCATTCCTGTCGCCAAATGGGTTGTTAATGTCATCATCCTCTTCTGACTGTTCGCTCTCGCTTTCCAAATCGTTGTATTTATCGACCTGTAAGGTTGGTACGGTCTGTGGGCGTGGGGGTTTTGCTGGAGGTAAGCCTTGAGTATTTGAATGAGCCGAATCTAGTTCCTCCTCGCTATCACTATCATCATCCACGCTTTTATCCATGACTTCAAACGCTAGGAGGGCGTTAATGATTTCTTCATGGCTATGAATCAGGATCCCAAGATAATTTTCGTCATCAAGTTTGTGGATGAATTTAAGGAGCTCAGACCGGAGCACTTTACACTCATCAACGCGGCGCATGACCTCTTTATCCTGGCTGACACGCATCGTCTCGCGGTTGACAAGCTTCATAGCGTTTTCTAGACGGGTTATGGCGAAACCTACATCCGCAACGGTACGCTTTATGCGAGCAACATCCTCATCAGAAGCCTTAGCTTTAGCCTTAGCATGTCTATCTGTTATACTGTTTGCAGTTGACGAATGCTTTTCCGATTTTTGCTTATTCTTCTTCTTTGAGTCGAAAAGTGATTTCGAATTGGAGGATGAAGATGGAGTGGTCGAGCTTAAGGTTCTTGACGGTCCGTCGCCTGCGACTATAGAGACAGAGTGACCCAAAGGTTCATCAGGTGACTCTTTGAGGATATTCGAGTTCTCGGGACCAGCACGTTTCTTTCGTTTAGGAAGTTGCTTATAAAGGGCAGTGACTCGCTCCATCCCAGCAACACCTTTGAATGACACTGCCCATTGAGAATACAGTTGCTGACATTTCTCCTTGACCGATGCATCGGTATGAGGGTCAGTCGCGATGACCCTCAGCCGTTCAAGGAGTGGCTCATCGGCAAAATTTCTGTGAAATCTTTCTCCGGCATTTTGTACGAGAAAGTCGAGGATCGTGAGAGCTCTCAGTTGACGATGTACATTGCCATACTTCCTGCAAGGAAATGTGTTAGTCATGAAATTAAGCTGTGCGCTTCTTTCCCTTCCAATAGACAAGAATAGAACCACGAACAGCTTCTTCCTCAAGGCGCGACTAGCTTCTGAGGGTCCGCTGGCCTGCAGGCGGATGACCTCGATCAGGTCTGGAATGCCGCTCCAGTCATCAACTTCGTATTGTTCGGCCGTGAGACTATCTATCTGCACCGTTATCGCCGTGTACGGTTTTTTCTAAGCCCAAAAGAAATGCGTTAGCAACTGTAATGACTACTTTCCCATCGGCACTTCACGTATAGATACAGACACTGCACTCTAAGTACAGTATCTAAAAAACAAAGGTGAACAGTAGCTGTGGAGGGAGAAGGGGTTATATATATACCGATCCTGAAAACATGGCTATGCAGTTCGGGGCCTACCGCCTGCTAGTCGGTGCGGGGATTTCGGGGATGGGGATGTGTTGGAATAACAAGGTCTTTGTAGCGTCGCATCCAGACGTGCCTCCGGCCAATAAAATAAACATACGCCTAGTCCAGGCACTGTCATGCAAAAAGAACCTGATGGCGATATCCAGAGGAAGCGAAGAGAAGCAGATACAACGCGCATCAACAATTCTTCTTTCTCCCGCATTTGGTTTCTTCACACCGTTTGAGGCTGTGAATGAATGACGTCTTGATGACTAATATATGACTGATCGAGATGACTAAGAAAATGGAAAAGTTACTTACAAATCCTTTACTAAGCGGCCAGACCCCTCGAGCTTATTAAGCGCCAGCAATAGCCGACGCCAAGGCCTGGACTTCAGCAGTCTCAGAGCGACGCGCAAAGGGAAAGCCGAGCCGAGGCGGGCCGGACGGTGAAGATAGAGTAAGCAACTCGGATAGACTCAAAGTCAAATAAGCTTAAGTAAACGTTTCATGTCTGGGATGCGAGACGAAGATAAGACGGGAGTCAGGGAGCGAAAGGGGAGAGGAGAGAGCGAGTATAAAAGCCCATCGATGCCTGCGAACTCTCTGTCGTCCTCCCAAAGATCGATATCACCACTGTCTACTCTTCTGGTTGCTTTGCTCTCGCTGGCTGTGGCATTGCTCGCTCTGAGGACTACTGTTTCTCCTACTTCCGTTTCTATACTCCTCCCCACGTTTTCCCCTCTTCGTTTATCTCGCCACTACAGCAATACTGCCATGTCGTCCACACCCTCATACCGCCAAGAGCTGCGAGTAGCAGAGCTGGCAGTCCAGCGGGCGTCTCTCCTCACCCAGAAAGTCTCGCAGCTGAAGGCTAAAGGCACCCTGTCCAAAGATGACACCTCTCCAGTGACAATTGGCGACTTCGGGGCCCAGGCTCTCATCATTCAGGCTATCAAGAAGAACTTCCCGGACGACGAGATCGTGGCCGAGGAGGAGGCTAGCTCCCTCAGAGAGAACAAGGCTCTTAGCAGCCAGATCTGGGAACTCGTTAAGGAAACCCGTCTCAATGACACAGAGAGTGACTGGCTTGTCGGTGGCCAGATGGCCAGCGAGGAGGTCTTCCTCGACACCCTTGACAGCGGAAAGAGTGCTGGTGGTCCCAAGGGTAGAATATGGGCCCTTGACCCCATTGACGGTACAAAGGGCTTTCTCCGTGGTGAGCAGTATGCCGTCTGCCTTGGTCTCATCGTTGACGGCGATCTCAAGGTTGGAGCTATTGGATGCCCTAACTTGCCTGTCTCTGACGCTGCTCTCACTCCTACCGTTGGCCAATCCGGCTCCGAGGGCATCGAGACCGGTGTGCTCTTCGGCACTATCAAGGGCGCCGGTTCCACCAGCCGCAAGCTTGGTGACGGTGCACTCCTCCCCAGCAAGCCCATCTCCATGAGGCCTGTTCCCAATATTGCCGATGCCTGCTTCTGCGAGAGTGTCGAGTCCGGCCACTCTGCCCAGGGTGACAATGCTGAAGTCGCCAGACTTCTCGGCATCACCAACCAGAGCATCCGTCTTGATTCCCAGGCCAAGTATTGCTCCATTGCCCGAGGAGCTGGAGACATCTACCTCCGTCTCCCCACCCGCCCTGACTACCAGGAGAAGATCTGGGATCATGCAGCTGGAGACTTGCTCGTACGTGAGGCCGGCGGTCAGGTTACCGACATCCACGGAAAAAGACTTGATTTCAGCATCGGCCGCACCCTCAAGGAGAACAAGGGTGTTGTGGCCGCCCCTGCTACCATTCACGCCCAAGTTATCGAAGCTGTCACCGCAATGTACGCCGCCAAGGCAGCCAAGGCATAGACATTCTCTCTTCATTGCGTTTCGCTTTTGTCTTCACGATCAAGCAGCTTATAAATGATGTTCAGTGGATCTGGTAACTATAGTCTTATCAGGAGTTCAATGCATGCAAGACATGCTGGAGGAACATGGAATGAACTGCAAAACAATTGTATAGAAATACATATAACGCCGAATGACACATATATTGTACAATGAAAAGACAAGACACACATGAGCAATTCCGTAGATCCATCTTTCGTTCACTTGATCTTCTTCGCCTTGAGCCTGATGGTCTCTCCGTTGACGAATATACCTTTGCCTTTGTAGGGTTCCGGAGGTCGCCATTTTCTAATGTCGGCGGCGAACTGTGTCACAACCTCCTTGTCGATACTTTCCAGGAGCAAAGTCGTGGGCTGCGTAGTCCGAGCCTTCACGCCCTTAGGAATACCGAGCTCAACAGGATGTGCGAATCCAACCTTCAGGGAGACAAATTGCTGTCCAGGGTACTCAGGAGCGAGGGTGATCGCAGACGATTCGACGGAGGCACGGAAACCAACTCCAACTAGCTTCAAGATGCATATGTGGCCTTCGGAAACACCAAGAATGTAGTTTCGTAGATGCTGTCGAATGGTTCCTACAACGTTCCCCGTTAGCTATGTAGTCCTCAATGGCAAAAGGCTGCTCAGAAGCAGGAATGTATTTCGCATACCCCACATGGCAGCCTGGTGCTTGACAGTCACATCCTGTACTTCAAATGACGCCTTTCTCGATTCTGAGTCGTAATTTAATGTTGAAAATGGCGGGATTTTCAATGTCAGTGATCCTGTTTCCCAATTGCGAGTTAGCCTTTGCATTCAATCCGATACTCCAAAGCAGTCTTCTCCTTACCCAGAGGGCCTGTTACATCCACTGCAGTGACGGGGGCATATTTAGCCTGCGCCTTTGATACAGTCTGGTCTAGAGGCAGGTCGCGGAATTGTAATGACACTTCTGGAGGCACTGCGATAGGAGCAGCGCCGATTCGCGATTGTCTTGATGCGGAGATTGAGAATGGCCTCGAAAACGCAGGGAGCAGGAAAGACGGCGGTGTTGCGGAACTTGGAGCTGCATTGAGTCGAGACGACTCCCTTAGGAGCCGTGTGCAGCAGTTTCTCGATGTTGCCAGCGCCATACTGACAGATTCCAAGTACCTGCTCAGCCTTTCCTGACTTTTCATCTCAAACTATTTTTTTTCTTCTACCTGGGGCGCCGATGGATCACGTGATCCAGCCCTCGAGTCACCGATTTCCAACGAAACACAAAAACGTCAGGAGGCAAAAAAGCATCACGACAACTACGTCAAGATGAGACTCACAGTTCCGCGTTTCATCTTTCTTTACGTCCATAAAGGACATTTATACATTCACTCTTTGTAAACTCACTATACCCACTGCTGTGATCAACTCCCAGTAGTCAATCCTCTAGACACCGCTCGGCCAATGTTGACCTCTTCCCCATACCAGCAACGGTTGTTTAACAGCTAACTAAAGTACCGTCCACATCCCGGATCCTCCATATACTCCCGATTATAATTTTATACACTTCTTTTTCACTCCGTTTAATCCCTCTATTATACCTGCTCCAGACCAAGCACAGAAATGGCATACAGCGCATCAGCTCCGCGAGTGGTTCGCATACTTTCTCTCTTTCTCTACCTTCAAATACTCTTGTACACTATCGGTAGCGTTACTGGATTCAAACTGCCTTCGTTTCTGAACAGTCAAGCACCCGCTGGCCTCAGATTTCAGGATACTGATAAATTTCCAGACGATGACTCCCAAATTTCAATTGATCTTCCACTATTACTCCATACAAATCCCGCTCAAAGGAATATTTTCTTCTCTAAGGCTCTGAATTTACTAGATTCAATGCAGCACGCGCCATCCTGCAACCAGCGTGCTGTCGCAAGTTTGATCACATCTTGTCAAGCCTTATCACCTGAGACAAGTGAGAGGAGACATTACACTCACTCTGACTTGGACCATGTCAAATCGTTATATGCTGCTCGATTAGCAGTATGCGAGATAACTGGGACTGGAGCCACGATACCCGAAAAATGCTTAGATACATTTCCTTCTCATAACGGCTGGAGACCCCAGTACAAGGACAGTTCTCAGGGATTCCAAGTCGCAGACGGGGAAAGGAATATCCCCGCGGCAGTACTGGAGTTATGTCTCAGATCCCTGGAATCAAAACCACAGTGGTGGACAAGCTATAGCAACGGTCGTCAAAATGCTGCTGTGATGTGCCATGCCGCTCGCTTTGAGATTGAGAAGGAAGAACTTCTTAATCATCATAGAAGCCTAACTGAAGTTACTCATGGATTAAACATGCACTTGAACCAATCTCTGGAAGATTCTTATACCCAAGCTCAGCAGCATCGTGAATTTATAAGGAGTATTGATACCCTACAGCAAAGTCTACTACGTGACCTACGTAGAAATAGCAACAGTATTCAAAATCAAGTTACGGAGCTCCTATCAGGTACCAGAGATATGTTTCGTAATGCAAATGGAGAATTCCGGGGGTTTATTGAAACCACTTTGACCGAGACTGCTACTCTCACTAAGGTATCCTTCCTCCAACTGAGTTGTGTAGTTTTCTTATTACCCAATGGAACTTACGCCTGATTCTAACTGGTAACAGCAAATTAAATCGTCCATTATCTCGGCTCAAGAAGTAAAAAGAGCTTTGAACGAGGTACTTGTCAAAGAAGTGAAGCAAAACTCAGACTTAGTTTCTGCAGAGCAGACTGCTCTCCTAGCCAATGCTCATCTTATTACCGATATTCAAGGCTCACTCACCGAGGTAAAGCAGGCTGGAATGGGTATCATAGCGGAAGAGCTGAAACATCTCCACATGTCGATGGTAAATATCCCTGGCTTTGTGTAGCTCACCAACTAACGGGAAGATAGCGTTCATTGAGTGAAATAGTATCCAGTGTGAGCCAAACGCACGCTTCCCTCGATGATGTATGAGTGTGACTTGCCTGATGCCATTGGCATGATAGCAACTAACAATAAATCTGCAGCGTGTGAAACATATTGATGCAGCCCTTAGCCACTTTGAAGAGAAAACTGCGTTTCTTCAAAACGTGATGACTACGCAGATATTAAACCAAACTCGACTCCAGCAATCTTTCCATGAAGACCTTCGTGCAGCTCAAGCTCTTTTACACAACATCACAAACTCTGCTATATATCTACAGGCCACGATCGGAGATGCCCAATCTACATTCAGTACACTTATTCCGCGGAAAGGATCACTAATATCTATAATATGGTGGCTGTGGTATGCCACAGTATTTGGCATCCTGACTCTATTTAAAACAAAACTTATAGTATATGCTATCTTTTTTTCTGGTAAGTTTACCCTCGCTGTGTGTTTTATTTCCCATTGCTCATTAGCATCATAGTCTTCGGAGCAGTTCTTTTCATATTAGGAGGTCATGACTGGCTTCAGACCATTCAAATACCCACTCTCATCACCCTACGCCAAGTGACACCCGTCGAGATAATTTGCTTTGCACTGGTATTTGTTATTAGTGCTCTTACCATTGTTATTATTACTGTCAAAGGATTCCCTTCTAAGTCAAAACTCGGGATGAACACGAATTCGGAAGCATTGAGGCTTCCTTAGCCTCCCGGGTTATCTATATGCGCAAATCCAGAACGTTTACCAACTACAAATCCACCTATATGCATTCCCCTTTATGATTTTTATATTCGGCAAATATTCGGCAATTTATATTTTATCATTGCTATTACATCATGACCTTCTCGTTTGACTCTACTTTCATACGCAGACTCAGTTTATTGATTGCATCACTTTGCTATCACAAGATGAAACCTAAAACCTAACTGTGCCTTCCGACTCCATTTTTCATTAACTGCATCGAATTACAATTCTAGCATTAATCATAATGTGCATGAGTATATACAAACCCAGTGGCTCTATTTTCTATTTTATAGGACGTCTATCATCATCTATGATGCATGTAAGAGGAAAATCCTCTGCTGCTATTCCGCAGTAAATTCCAGTAGCGAGTTTCACCAAAGCCGTTAACTGTCGAAGAGTATCCGTGGCATAATTGTTCAGGTATCTGGATTATCGTAGTAAAACATTTAGCGCCACGACTTCCACTTGTAAATATAACTGAGGTATCGTCGCTAGTATGGACCGCGTATGGGGGTAAGAGGCGTCATAGTAAGTTCCCGTTGATGGTAAGACGCATACCTTTCCGTTGCCTGGTAAGCTGGAAAATTGGGTTCGTAAGCTTCAAAGAGAAAATTCGGCTAATTTTCTCTGTGGCCATATTCACGATTATATTGTCATTCGGATTGCGGTAGGTCATCTCTTTTTCCTGCCAACAACTTTGGTAAATCCATCTTCGTCAACTTCTGGTTCCTCGCGTTGTTTTGGTGCCGATCGAGGAACGGGAGCATCTTCCATATCAATATCATCATCGTCTTCATCCTCACCATCATCGTCGCCGTCATCATCGCTGCTATCATCCACGCCATTCACTCCAACTCTATTGATAATATTAGCAGGTAGCTTGCTGCCACCGTTTTGCTCTTCTGCTTTGAACTGATCCCACATTGCCTCCACACGTTCAAATTTCCCTTTTTCGATCTCTGCCTTCAATTCACAGATCTGATCGGCGATCTGGCTAATGCTTCCGTCATCAACAACCACGTCGAACTCATCTGTCATGACTTGTATTAACACATCTTCAAGGTCTTGTGCATCGGTTTCAGGGTGAGTGCTGAAAAGCTCTGCAATGGCACCACAGAACCAATCGCGTTTGCTCTTTGAATTAGGACCTCCCCAGGAGGATTCGACGGCCAGTGTGAGAGATGGCCAGGAATATAAGGTAAGGGTTATAGCGAGGTCAAGATGCGCGGAGGGAGAAAGGGAAGTTGCCCCTTGAGTCTGAGCAGGAGGTTGTTGAGGTCCTGTAGACTCCATCATGCGACAGTTATCCTATCGGTTCAATAAGTGGTAAACGGAAAACTGGGATAGATGGCAGATCTTTGATTGTCAGTCAATTCTCATACAACATCCCACATCGAACTTTTCTCTATCAAGCGCAGAAAATCAAAACTTTATTCTGATTACTAATCAGTATGTTCATACGTAATCCATTGAAACTCTCGTGCCGCCAGAAGCGCAGCCGCTAGTCACTAGCCGCCGTCCCCTCAATCTTGCTTGCTTCAGAGGAAAGGGACAAGCTGCTGCCTATAAGCGGCGCACAAAGCAATTGTCCACGGGGTGGGTTTCAATTGGAAACATATCAGCTCGGATAAATAAATATTTCTATCTGGTTTTCAACAGGTACTACCGTTAGAGTCACAAGCCACAAGGGGTAGTGACTTGGGTTTGTTTGTTGTAATGCTATTTCATGATTTTCTTGAACCCGTCTTCCATCCTGCAAATCCTGAAATGTGTTCTGACCGTTTCGGCCCGCAGTAGTAGCGCGTCTCCTTGCCATGAACCAACTACGAGGCCTAAACCTTAAAGTATTCCAGTATACAATATCAACCATATAAGTCTTTCTGCCATGAGTGCAATTGCCTTGTTTACTTTGTTCTCCTCCTGCTTGTACGGCCCAGATGACAAAAATATGGCAGTGTGGTTGTGCTTGCAGTTATGACGTCATGTGCGTATGGATGGAAACAAATAATTCACGTAATAACTTTGTTAGTAAGGATTTAACCTTAACTAAGCTATGACCTCATCTTTCTTGTTCCTTTTTTCCACTTCAAGCTCCCTTTTTATCCCTGCTCGAGTAAACAACAAGGCAAACTTGAAAAGCCCCGATGCCGCACAGAGTCTGCTGATGTTCTGCATCCTACTAGAGCATGGCCCGTTACTCCCCTCTATACTCGGTGTCCATGGCTGTGACTGCTATCCAATGGCTTGATATTCACTGTTGGTGATTGGATTGTTCCTAGAAATGCCATTCAACATCCTCTCCGTGGCTTTCCATGCCTCCTTTACCGCCGTTTCAACCGGCGTAACGCATGTATGTCCCGTAAAGCTTTCAAACTTCGGCCACGCAATGCTAATACGATTTTCTCTTGAGTAGTATCTCGGCAAGAAGCCTGTCAAAACAGAGCCTGCTGCACATTTCTCATACCATAGCGGACTTGAGGTTGTTCGGCGGTTCCTCGAGCATGCATCGCGCCATACGGTTGAAGAACTTCAAGCCTTTACCGGCCAGAAAGTGCCAGCGTCGTATTGGGTGGCAACTGGGAGTGTCATTATCCCTGCAGAGCACATAGAGTCTGCAGCTCACATTCTCGTTGCACAGCTAGGGCCAGAAGGCGTATCCCTAGTTGGTGGGAGCAAGTGGTGGCAGTGGAGGGACACCGAGGCTGCCCTTGTTGCAGAGTGGCTTGAGACTAGAAGAGATTATAACGACCGACGGGCGCGGAATGCCAAATCGAACCGTATTATTCTCTATATCCATGGCGGCGCATATTTCTTTGGTAGTGTGGAAACCCACAGATACCAGTTACAGCGACACGCCCGCAAATTAAAGGCTCGTGTTTTTGCTCGGTGAGATTTACATTTCCTCCATCCAAGTTGATATGAATACTAACCGCCTTGCTAGTAAGTTCCCTACTTCTTCCATAAGGTATTAGCGTCTATGAACCATACCGTTAACTATGGAGACCATAGCTCGATTTCGATTAGCTCCACAATTTCCATTTCCATGTGGGCTACATGACTGCCTTGCAGCTTATTTGTATCTAATAACCATCCAAAAACCAGAGGAGATTATAATAGCTGGCGACTCCTCAGGTGGTGGGATGGTGATGTCGTAAGTACATGACTCGTGCATATAAGATTTGTAAAGCTAACTTAAATGTAGGATGCTAGTCACACTCCGGGATCAAAAATTTCCATTGCCCGCTGGAGCTGTTCTGATATCCCCTTGGGTTGACTTAACGCACTCTTTCCCAAGCGTTGCTGGTACTGGAGTGCATGATTACATTCCCATTTGCGGATTTAGGCACCGACCGTCAACTGCATGGCCTCCCCCAAGCGCAGACGAATATGGAATAGAGTCAACGACAGGTGAGAAGATTCTTAATAAGATCAATTCACCCCCCATGGTGGACAAGCCATCAATCACCGACACCAAAGCTATCGAAGACTTTTATACCAGTCAGGCCTGTGCTACAGCTCAGTCGGCTCATGTTGAGGATTACACAACTTCTGAACTTCAAGAGTCAAATGGCCATCGTCGAAACACCCAGATGCTGGGCGAGCTTCTCCGAGTTGAAATCGACGGTGCAACTATCGAAATTAAAGATCAAATTCACCTATATACGACTAACAAGCTTATATCACACCCCCTGGTATCTCCTGTTCTCCAACCGTCTCTGGGAGGCCTTCCGCCGCTACTTGTTATCTCTGGTGGAGGGGAACTCCTTCGAGATGAGCAGATATATCTTGCACATAAGGCAGCGAATCCAGAAGCATACCCCCCCAATGACGATATCCTTGCCAAGTATGACCCGGACTGTAAAACACTGTCCCAATACAAACCTACTTATGTACAACTTCAAGTCTGGAATAACATTTGCCACGTTGCACCGACCCTGAGTTTCACGCGGCCAGCAAAATATATGTATAGATCAGTTGCCCAATTTTCCGCCTGGGCCCTATCAAGAGCACAGGAGTCGAGTATTGATATACCAGACTCATCCCCTACCTCATCTGGTGACTTATTATCAAACGCTGAGGAAAAGAAAGCTTCAAATAAACAAACCGCTGAACCAGAGCTAGCTCAACATGCAACCATTGGGAAAGCTGGTGACCCAATACCGCCATTTCAAAACCATATGATCCGCCAATTGGTTGATTCGGAGGGCCATTTGCTCCCACTTCCTGACGAACATGACCTTCCCGCTCTCCAAGTCCCGCGGAACCACATTGGGGTACCAAAACCCATACCGGTTCGCCGCTGGCTTGCCGCCAAAGAAGAATGGGACTCCAAATTCGTCAAAGAAAAGCGTAGATTACAAAAAGAGCGACTGAAGCGGATTCCTATCGGAATTGATGATATAGCACCTGGAGACCGTCCTCCACCTAGCTCACGGGCTGCACGACGAGGAGTTACTGTCAGTGAAGTGCGGCAACCAACGAAGAGAAGCATCATGCTGTCGTTCTGGAACAGATTAGGTGCAATTCACGATGCCAAAGTGATGGAAAAGGAAAAGAAAAATAACGTTGAAAATAAGTTTCCAACTCTGTGGCGAGGGGGTGTTCAAGGTGAACAGCGAGCTGCGGCCAATGTCTCACTGCCAAATGGACAAAGCAAAACTCAGGTTGTTACGGATATTGGTCAATCCAACGAGTCACAGCGGGATTTTACTACGAAGCCTAGTAGGGCGATTCCAGAAGCATCTGTACCACAAATCTGGAGATCCCCTAGCAGTGAAGAGCTTGGGAGAACACGCTCTCCACGTCTAAATAGCGAATCCCAGGGGGTTGTTAGTGACAAAGGCCGGGGTCCAAAAGATGAATCGCCTGTTGACTCACTACTTGATGAAGCAAGTATACGGACAATTCGACACTCGAAGGGAATAATCAGTCCTCCACCGGTTTCAGCTGCCCCTCTATCCGACTACCAATCTGTGCTACAGCCTGGGCCATACAGCGTCGACAAGACAATCGTTGGTGGACCAACACAGAAGAATGAAGGTACCTCTGGAGAGTCAGATGCAGTCACTCAGGATTTACCTGGTGAGGTTGTAAATCGCATGGATGGGAATAAACTACCGATGTTTGATTTTGAAGCAACAGGCAGCAATCCGCAGCGGGAGCTGGGGCCATTCCCTTCCTCACTGAATGGAAGTGGTGGTGGTGGTGCTCGGGATAACCAGAGCGGGTATTCCAGCAACTACAGCTAACAATCATTCTCTGGTCCGGGTAACAGTGGGTTCCGCTGAAGATGAAGGTAATTGTGATTTATTTGAAATGAATTTATCTATCAAGAAGCTATGGTGGCTACATTAAAGATCATTAAACCGTGACCCAAATACTACCCTTGGGTTTTTAATTTTAACTTGCGATTTACTATTTGTGTTATATACTATACATTAGGCTAAGTTTAATCTCGGTTTCATAATAACAGCCAGGTTTTTATAAGGCAATAAGTATACTTAAAGGATATAGAGCCTCACCTTGAAGCTTCAGGTGCCTCCGGCAGGCAAGCAAAATCATACAAAAGGTATATGCGAGGTGACGCTGAATGAACAGTATGAGGGTATTATTCGCCTCAGACCTGTCTCACCATTCGAGTCCGACTTTTTCTGCAATTTTCTTTGATACATCCAAGAAAGCATTCCGGCGAACGCTTCTATCATTGCTTTCTTCAGCCACGACAGTAGGCATACCCCTATCTGCATCTTCACACACGCGCGCATCAAGAGGGATGTCTCCAAGGAAATCAATACCAAGGCGTTTACAGGCCGCAACAACTCCGGTATTCTCACCATGACTGGGCTGGTGTCCTTCATCTCCCGCGGCATGATTGTTCGATCGTGAGAATATCTTAGTCTGCTTTCCACAATGTGGGCAAGCAAAATAAGCCATGTTCCGTATCATTCCTAATACAGGGACATTCATCTTTTCAAACAAGCCAAATCCTCGAACGGCGTCTCGTAGAGCAATATCCTGCGGCGTAGACACTATGACAGCGCCATCAACAACTACCTCCTGGTTGATGGTAAGCTGCACATCTCCTGTTCCCGGTGGAAGGTCTAATATGAGCACATCTAGCGGGCCCCATGAAACGGAATGGAGAAGCTGGTTCATTGCCTTGCTGACCATGAGTCCTCTCCAGGATATGGGAGTGGTATCCATGAGCGGCGAGCTAGGGTCATCCGTCAAATGTCTCGCATCTTCAGGCGGCGGTGGGAGCAAATATCCCATAGACATCGATTTCAGGCCATAATTGGTCAAAGGGATGAGGCAGTTATCTGAGAGAATGGAGAGAAAAGGAGCGCTCAGCTGTTTGCATCGGTGATGGGGTCAAAGAGAAGACATACTCCCGTCAAGCCGCGGTTCCCCAGATAGATTAAGAAGAGTAGGTATGGATGGCCCAAATATATCTGTGTCGAGAATTCCAGTCCGGAATCCTCGTCTTGCCAGTGACAGCGCAATATTCACTGTCAAGTCCGGCCTTAGCCCTGAGCCCAAAATATACCATTGACATTCTAACCTGCAATTGTAGATTTCCCGACTCCTCCTTTTGCCGATGATACAGCAATGACCTTATTAACATCCTTGATCCTCCGTTTCTGGGGCAGCCCACGGCGGCTTTGAAATGTTGGTGGTGTCCCAGACCTGGGCAGTCCCTAGAAGTAAAACATGCATTAGCTAGAGGTCTAAGGATAGAATTGATGGAGATAACATACTAATGGGTTTTCATGCTGAAGCTGGCGGCAGGTGGAAAAAAAGGCCCGCCGCATGGTAATCGCACTCTATTTGAGAAGTCGTAACAGTTTATCCTGTCCTCCGCGCCGTTTCTTCTTGGGGTGGATGTTTTGAGATGCTTGAAGTTGCGACTCGGCAAAACTTGCTCTGGTGGCTGCGAAACTCAAAAGGAAATTTTTCCCGAAGTTTTTCTCGATAAGCCGAAAAAAAAAAAAAAGCTCAAAGGTAGATGAACAACTTCGATAACAGTGACTTGCTATGCCAGAAGGCTCATAATGTCTGTGAAGAAAGGACGAGATAAAACGTTGGCGGAGCAGATCGCTGAGCTCGAAGATCCCACTCCCAAAGGTACGCCCCCTAATTGCTATCTATATGAGATACTGGTTGAGCAGTGGACTAATAATGCAACGACAGAATTCGACCCGGAGGATCAGAGTGATGGCGCTCAGGAGAGTGATAGCGACAGTGGTAGCGATGCTATAGATCTTGATACTGGGAGAGAGCATTACGAAGCCGTGAGGTATGTTGCAGATAATCTATTTCCAGTATTTACTTACTAACAGACCAGCAGCAAGAGCAAACTCAGAAAAGCAGAACAGATAGAGCTAGGAAGCGAATACGCTGGGTCGCGGGTTAGCCGACACGATTTGAATGGATATGACTCCAGCGGATCAGGTTCTCTAGAGGAGAGAGAGAGTGAAGGAACCGACGATAGTTTTAGTGACGGATTTTCCGCAAGTGAGGAAGATGAAGATCAAGACATGAGTGACGGATCCGAGACGGATGGCGTGGAATCATACGAAGATGATGAGTCTGGCTCTGATACATCTGGCTCTGATAATATGGAGGAAGAACCACGAAAGAAATCGAAATCAGAATCCACGAAGACTGCTGACAACGACCGCGAAGAACTGCGACGACTGATGGCCAGTGGGGATAAGATCGTGACCGCATCAATATCACAGGCCGCCAAAGATGATGCTGTTAAAGGTGCAGCTGTTAAGAAACAGAGATTTACATTCGATGCGTTACTGAACTCCCGGATTAAGCTACAGAAGGGTCTCACTTTACTCAATGGAGAGACTTTACCTGCAGACGAGACTGAAGACCTGATAAAGTCTGCTGAAACGGCTGCGTTATCTCTATGGAATATGCTGGGTGACCTTCGACAAACACTCGCGGAACACCAGGCTGCAGGTGACGCTAACCAAAAGAAACGCAAGAGGCCTGCTCCTGCAACGGTAGAGACAAGCTCGGCAGACATTTGGGGCCAGATGTGTGAACTTGAAGCCCAATCCCTCTCTCACAGGCGTGGAGTGCTCGATAAATGGTCTCGAAAGGTTCGCGGAGCACGTAGCAGCACTCTTTCTAATAACAACCGGGGCAAGCTGTTGAATACCAGCTCAGACGAGCAGAGCATGACTGCTGTTCTGGAGACGTATGTTTCTAAAGAGAGCAGAAGTGATAAGTCATCTGCTTCCAACACCAATTCTGAAACGCGAATAGCATACGATGATACAGCGTTCTATCAATCACTTCTCCGTGACTTGGTTGAGCAACGCATGGCAGCATCTGCCAATGGTGGAGTTATCCTGGACTCGATATCTACTCAGCTTCCCAGGAGTGGGACTACAAATCCCATTACAGGAATGCGCAAGGACAAGGTGAAGCGGACAGTAGATACCAAGGCTTCCAAAGGGCGAAAAATGAAGTATAATGTGCATGAGAAACTACAGAACTTCATGGCTCCAGAGGATCGCGGCTCATGGTCTAATCGAGCCAGAGACGAATTCTTTGCTTCATTGTTGGGTCGAAGTGTGAGTAATGTACTAGGCGAGGATGAATACAGTGATAATGATGGTGAGTCTGTGGATGACGATGCCGAAGGAGGGTTAAGGTTGTTTAGAAGTTAGCCCTGTCGACAGCTGATAGAAAAGGATGGGTTTGAACAATGCTATATAGAATGACGAATGCATATATAATCATTATAATTACCAGCATGAGACCGCCTAGCGCGTTTGTATATTCTTTTAATAGTAACAATGTGATTGATTCAATTGGCCAGCCTCCCGAGCGCCATAGAAAAATGCAGTGCTTGCCGCGATCCTGCGCTGTGACCAAGTTAGCCAGGGACTTTGAAGGAAATATAAAACCACGGCAGAGACACGGGGAATATGGAGTAAAGAACTATGCAAAAAGCAGATGAAAGGCCTAGTAGACGTCATCTTCTTGACTATAAGTGTGGCGGCTACGGGTAGGATCCTTGCGCATCTGCTGCCCCGAACCGGTAAAGCCAACTAAGACGAAACCCAGTTAGTAAATCTAAATTGACAAGCATTGGAAGAGAATACAAGTCATACCTCTTGCATTTATTCCTTCTGGTGTCCTGAACATGGATTCCTTCTTGACCTTTCCGAATTTACTCTTGCTCGTAAAATCTTGCCACTTGTTCTTGCCGGCTTCCAAGTCTTTCTTCCGTTTCACCTTGCGGGCGGCCTTTGACGGCCGTGGTAAGCCATCATTCTGGCCGGCCACATTCCTTGCCTGATTGGCGAGGTCGGGGTTGATATCAGCTGCTGCTGAGATAACACTGGATTCGGCGCCTACATGTGAACCGGCGCTACCGTCATGACCCGTACTCGAGCTGTTGATGTTGTTGGGGGCTAAACTGCCTGGTGATGAGGATATATTATCAGCTTTTCGCTTTTTCGAGTCAGGAGCAGAGAGAGGGCGGATATCCTTTGCCGTCAAGGTCTCAATAGTGGAGTATGACTTGAAGGAGACAATGTAGATGGGGTTAGTGGCTGAGCCAGTAAGGGAAGTGATGCGGGCAGGGTAAAAAGCGCCATCACCCGATGTCCAGCGGGCGAGGACGTTGTCGTTGACGCAAAATGAAGCCGGCTGAGTCTGCTCCTCCTGCGGTGGGGTAGCGTCTGCGGCGGCTGTTGGAGCTGGAGGGGCTGGTTTGCGGTATCCAGCCTGGTACGCGGGATGATTCTCCTTGGACCACTTCTCCTTGACTGGTTCTGGGGCTGGCTGAGGCTCGGTTGGGGGTCGTAGTTCGTCGATGGATTGTTTGGTAAGTGCTATGAGTTCTTCCAGCTCTGTTTTTAGACTCTGCAGTTCTGTGTTATCAGGGTCGACCTGCAAGCTGGACTGTACCGTTTCGAGCTAAAAAAAAAAAAAAAAAAAAGTACAGTCATTCCGTATTCTAAGCATAACAGGGGGAATATCAGTACCTGTAGCATAAACTCCTTTACCTCCGCCTCCATAGAAGCAACGTCCGTCATGATGTCGGTGTGCTGAGCAGATGGCCACGGGCGTCAGTTTTCAGTTGTATCGTGGGCTTGATGGTTTCAACAAGGACAAAAAGAGGCAGCTAATGAAAAATAAAGGAAAATATTGCATGCCTCCGCCTTTCTCGAAGATAACGCCCTTAATGCTCTTTTCGTGATCTACTTTGGCCTTCTTCATCGTCTTTTCCTGGCGGCTTTTCGGTGACTGCCCAGGTGGAAATTCAGTCACGTGGTAGAATAGGTCACATGATTTATTGGTTTTGAATCATGTGACATAAATTAATCACGTGGATGATAATCAGATAAGAGCTTAAACTTTATCTTTCTAATTTGTCAGCAAGCAGCGACCCCTTAAAGCGGCGGGCGATCGTCCCGCTTTCGGCCTTCGGCGCTTGCTGGCCCAAAGAAGAAATTCTCGACGTCAGCTTCAACTTCAGCTTCGGCTTGATCCTCAGCCTCGTCGCTCGCTTTTGATAACTCGACGATCTTGCTCTGAAAGCAAGCAATTATTAGTCGGCTTTCGTTCCCCCGGTTGCTCCGTTGCTGGCGCTGTGCGTGTCAATTGTCCCTGGCTACTTTTAGCCGCGGCTCGAAGTGTTACAGACGGTGAAATACGAGACCCCCGTTCTCGGCCTCCCGCTAACGAGCGCCCTTCAGGCTTCAGCCACCTGCGTGTTACCTCCGGCCAGCTGTCCACAGACGGGCGATGTCACCGCGTGAGAGCTGATCTCAGTCGCTGTTCGCCTGTTCCACCGTCTTCTGCACACTTCGAACCCGCAACGCACCATCCTGGCCCTTGTCCTAGTCCTTGTCTGGTTGTGCCGCAATTTGGCCGGCAGCTTATTCTCCCTTCGATCGCTGCCTTCCACCGTTCTTCCAAGCCTGACCGTTTTTGCCTGGCCATCGTCAAGGCCATCATTCTTCTGTCCTGCAATTCTAGAAGACGGGGAAAAGAAAAAGACTGCTCAGTTACACCCTGGACAGCTTCTAGAACATATTGCAATTATCTCTTTCTGATACCGCTGCTATTGTCCTTCCCACCACCCCACGCTTGCCCACGGGGACGAGTTACTCCGGCTCATCTCCTGCCTGGAGAGGCCCATCATTTCACTCATCACCCACTTGACCGGATCTACTTGAAGTATCGCTTCCGTCATTTTTTTTTAGCTCTCAACGTCCACTCTTATCGAAATGGCTGAATTCGACCCTTCCTTCCAGCGTAGCCTCTATCTATCGCCCGACCAGCAGGATTTGCTCCTCGCTGCCCTCTCATCCAATAACCAGCCAACCAAACCTGGTCCTCAGCCCAATCACCGCTCTGCAAACGGCTCATCTGGAAACGATATCTTTGACTCACCTCCTCAGGATATTCCAGGCTCCGGTCAACTCAGCTTCAATCCGGATGACAGCCCATTCCTTGGACTCGACCTAGATGCTGAATTCGATGTCTCGGATCAAGCCTTGATTGGAGACCTCCCGGCCATAGAAGGTGAACAGCAGATCGCTGTTGAGCCTCGCGAAAAGAGAAAGAGTCTTGACGGCGGGGAAGGCGCAGATACAGGGAAAAAGCGCAAAGAAAATGAAGAAAAGGTTGCGAAGAAACCTGGGAGAAAGCCCTTAACTTCAGAACCAACAACCGTGAGTATCTTCTGAGTCTTGCTCTTCCCTTACATCCCCTATTAACTTCAGGTACTAAACGGTTTTGGTCATAGAAACGGAAAGCTCAAAACCGAGCTGCACAGCGAGCGTTCCGCGACCGCAAGGAGAAGCATCTCAAGGATCTCGAAACCAAGGTTGCTGACCTTGAACGCGCCTCTCAAACCGCAAATCAAGAAAACACATTACTCCGTGCACATATCCAGCGTCTCCAAGTCGAATTGAAGGAATACCGCAAACGGCTATCATGGATCAGCAGTGGCAACAGCTTTTCCCCAACAACTAGCTTGCTAAATCAAGCGAGAAGTCTGCACGCTCAGTCTCGCTTGAACAATGATTTTTCGTTTGATTTTCCCAAGTTCGGCGACCTCCCTGGGGCTCATATGAACAATATGGGATCGTTGGCGAAGGGAACCCCCAATGCTCGCAGCCAGACACATCCAGCCCTAGGAATCAAAGCCACCAGCCATATTGGAGCTACTCCACAGTTCACGCCGTCAAACGGCAGTACATTCAGACAAAATGGCCAATCTTCCAACGCAAATAAAGGCCATGAAGCTCCCGGCAGCACCTACAATTCGCACAACTTTGAAACCTCCCCTGCTACATTCTCCGAGTCGCCCTCGGCTTCGTCAGAGTCTCAGCACATATCATCGATATGCACGTCCCCCGAGTCTAGCCTTACATCGCCTACCATCGCACAGAAGGGAGATGCATCCAACTCTGCACAGGCCAACGGCAACGGGAACACAAAAAAGAACAGTCCTTCACAGTGCGAGCTGAAATTTTATCAGCAGCTAGGCGAAGCATGCGGTTGCGTTGATAACCCCATCCCCGCAGCCCTTGCAAAGAAGTCAAGCCAGGGGTCTACAAACCCCAAAAGCCCAGAAAATGCAGCGAGCACCCTTTCTCCTGCAAACTCAACGCCAACTATGAGTACCAGTACTGCGTCCGAAAATACAAACAATACCCAAACAGTATCTGATCCCAGAGGGAACGGTTCCGCAACAGCATCCTCCAACGTGCTCTCTGACCCCTCCATCCCTAGCTTTGACTGGCTCGCGCAGCAGAATGGCGGCCACTTTGACCCAGTCCTGTTCGGCGATTATCGCGACCCACAGGACGCTGTTCTTTCCCAGGATTTCAGCGGGTTCTTTGATGATGCTTTCCCTCTACCTGACCTAGGCGCATTTGATGCTGCCACCCCCGGCTCCACAACTAAGACACCTGGAAAGACTGATGCCCCGGTCACCACGGTAGATATCGATGATGACGAAGAGGTGGTACCGGGCGAAGACAGATCTCAGATGCTTTCCTGCACTAAGATATGGTCAGTTCCTGCCGTCAAATCGGTTGATTCAAGCGATAGTTCGTCTAACCTGGTTTCTAGGGATCGTCTTCAACGACTGGAGAAATTCCGCAACGGTGAAATTGATGTCGACAACCTTTGCACTCAACTCCGTACCAAAGCCCGTTGCTCCGAGGGTGGTGTGGTCATTGACCAAAAGGACGTCGACGATATCGTTACCAGAGCGATTTGATCTTTGTTCGTTGATTCGAGATTAATAATTGCATACCAGTCTCCCGCCTTGAAACAGGAATCAGACTTCTCGATTGATGACTATTCCCTGTTTGCGTTCCGCTTTACACGCCAGTTCGCTCCCTTTCTGCTGCTCTACTATTCTCCTTGCTCTCGATTTTGTCCAATATTTGTTTTTTAAGCTCTTCGAAGTTTTGGCTACATGCCCACTTCCCAAGGATCATCCGCAGACGGCTCCTCTATAAGGACGATTACGATGGTCTATATACCTCTATCTTCCTTCTTTTATTTCTCATGAACGTGAACAAAATAACCTCCACCTGATTTATTTCTTGATCTTCTTTATTGACATCATCCCCCCCGTGTTGGTTTGGCAGATTTCTTTGATTTTTTGACTTGCTTTGATCTTTGTTGAAATATGTATATTCTCCTGCTTGCAGGACAAGGGCAGTGAGATATAACAGAGAGCATAGTTGACTGCCGTAGCTACGGCTGTCTTCTTGTCCTTTCGTTATACTCCATGGTATGCCCGATTTACTTTACAACACAGAAAGGCGCGAGTGGCCCAGATGGATGGACTGGTGTACGGATGGACTACATATTTAGCGTCTATAGCGTTTGATTGTTTTAATACAGAAGAATCTCTATCTCCAGATATTGAGAACCTTAGCATGTGGAGGCTAGCTTTGGTTACAACAATAATGGGGGGTGATCTGTAAATATAGGATTTTGATCATCTAAACGGAAAGGCATTCGTAGTTAGAGTCCAAGCAATACAAAGACATCTACATTTACATTTTAGAGACGGGAACGCTTTACTGGTGATCAAGTACGCAAGCTGCCAATATAGTTAGGGAACCTACTGGTCACAAGGAAGCTGATTAACATATTGAGTACAGGATTTAAGGTATCTCAGGTTCAGGGGGGCGAGGAATGGATAGAACAATGTTACGTTTAAAGGGGATATAAATAATTGGGAATAAAGAGAAGCAGAAGAGGGAGCGTTTTATGGAACAGTTTTGATATAGAAAAACAGGGGTAATAGGATTTCGAATAGCAATGGAGCAAGGTGTTAGAGGGTACGAGGACAAATATGGAGGCGACAGTTAGGAGAAGGTAAAAGAGTAAGTAGACAGGATACATCCCCCGAGAATGCACGGAATACGGATATCTAAACAGCGATGTCTCAGCACGAATCAATCATGACTCGGTAGCCGAAGGAGTGGGCTTGTCTCCCGCAGGGGCTGGAGTAGATGCAGGAGAGCTCGATTCGCCAGCTGCTCCCTTGTATCCCATGCCTCGTCCACCACGGCCACTACCTCTTCCGCCTCGCTCGCCACCACGTCCGCCTCTTCCACGTCCTCCGAATCCTCCTCGGCCTCCTCTACCGCCCTCGCCGTCACTGGCTGCGCTTCCGCTCTGGTAACCGCTGCGAGTGTTTGCTGACGAGCCACCGCGGCTGCTGGCCTGCCATGTACCGGCATTTCCCTGGCCATCGCGGTTGGAGGAACGGTGTGAAGCCCGGTCTTCGAAGACCTTGACATTGGGCTTTCGGTTAGGTCCAGCAGGGCTGGGTTTCTTGTGCTCCAGTGGCTGTCTCTCGAGAGCAAGCTTGGAGTCTTCTGGTGTAGCAAAGGTGACTACAAAGTTGAATTTGCCCCATTTCTCGATCTTGACGATCTTCGCTCGGTCTTCTTCAGGCCATAATTGTCGAACTGCCTCCTCAGTGTCTACGTTGGAGATGAAGAGGCCGCAGGTTAGTTTTTTGTCCGTGGAGCTAGCCGATTTTGAGTCTGCTTGTCCTGGCTGCTGGGCAGAGCCGTTGGCTTCGGATGCAGAGTCCCCGGCAGATGGAGCTTGTTGTTGTTGTTGCTGCTGTTGCTGTTGGGGTGCAGGAGTTCCGGCGAGAGGAGTTACTGGCTTGGGGGTTGCTGGTTTCTCCTTGTTGGCACCAATTGGAGCAGGAGAGGCGGTAGACTTAGGTGGCAGAGGCGGGTGTTGTTTACCTTGGTTGGGGGTTTGTGTGGAAGAGACCTGGGGAGGATACTGGTTGCCGGTGTTCCGTGATGGTTGGGCCGGTATCTGCCCAAATTGCGGTGGCGCTACTCGGGTATGTGGAGGTCCTCCTGGCCCTCCGGATGTGCCTCCTGCAGCACCAGAAGGGTTGGCGAGCGCTGGAGGAGCAGCACCGGTCTGGGGAGCACTGGTAGTAGTAGGTTTGCCGCCTCGGTGAGAGAAGTTGAAGCCCTGGGCGCGCATCTCGGTACCGATTCGGCCGCCCTCGATATCGAGGACCAGGTATCCAAACGCAGCGTCGGCCAGGTTGAAGTTCCACAGATTCTTGAAGGCACTCTCATCCACTTGGCCGCCTGCGTTGCTTGCTGTTACTGGTCCGCCGAATGGGTTACCTCCGTTAGCAATGCTAGGCATCTTCTGGACAATGTCCAGGGCGTTGTCCAGCAGAGTCTTTTGGGCTTCATTTGCATTTATGGCGGACTCAACTTCACCGCGGACTGTATCCCAGACATCGTTGAAGGAGGCCTTGGAGGCAGCCAGTTTACCGCGGTAATGGTCGAGGGTCGGGTTGACGCTGAATTCGTTGTAGGAGCTTCCGTATCTGAAGTGCAGGCCGGCAGAGATGGAGAAATCGGCTTTGAGGGTGACGGAGAGCTGGTTCAGCATGCCCTCTCTGGCAGGGGATGCATGAGTGACGAAAATACGGGTCTCTGCAGGGTCGTAGACACGGTTGGCAGTATCAACTAGCTCGCCCATCTGCAGCAGCGTGGTCCACATGGTACCCTGGCCACCGGCAATGGTCGTCTTGCCCTCACCGTTGTCAAAGAGCTTGTGCATAACAATTGCGCCTCCGAGGCCAAGCAGACGAAGCTTGACCCCGCCGATATCTAGTAGTCTCGAATTGGCCTCATCGATAATGTGTAGCTTGTCGACCTTGTACTCGCCAGAGCGGAACTTTTCCAGCACACGGACATCCTCACAGGCGCCCCACACGGTATAAACTGGCACATCGAGGGTCATCTGCTTGTTAAGGAGGAGGGGGAGTTCGGAAAGTGGGAGCTGCTCGGGACTGAACCGTTGCTTGATGGATTGCTGGGGAGGTACCTGAGCAACGCTGCGCTTAATGGGCTCTGGGAGCAAAGGAGAGTACTGTGCAACATGTTTAAGGGTCCTGAACAGGAGCAACGAAGCGTCAGTATGTGCGGAGAGGGAGACAGGACAGGAGAGAAATAGAATAGTTGGCTTACTTGTCTGCAATTCTCTCCAGAGAGCTATCATCGTAAAAACCAAAGTCACCAGTGTGGATGATGTGGTCAGCTCGAGCTTGTTTGGCGAGTTCGTTTAACGACTTGAGGTTTCCTGCAGCAGCATTTCACACTCCATGTTAGATATTAGGACAGCACACAGGTAGCGGCAAGCATCAAATTTGTATATTCCCCCGTATTCCCACGAAAAAAAAGACAGGTGTAGCAACGAGGCTTAACGGGGGGGGCAGGTCCTCACCTCGCACGTCCGCAATACAGAGGATCCTCACAGCTCCATTTTGAATGATCCTGCCGTTGTTTGGTAGCAGCGGCGTCGCCCCCGGAGTTGGCACCACCGTCGAACCGTTCGGCAGGGTATAGGGAGTGCTCGTGAACGCGTGAGGAGGATGGGGCTACAGCAGAGACAGAAGACAGGGTCAGTCGGCTCCGCACAGCCAGCGAAGGGGGGGAGGGGAGCGCCTGGTCTTTGCTAGCATCGCAGCGCTGCGGCAGACTTACTGAAGCCATGGATGACAGTTTGACAGCGGACTTTCGTTTCGTTCAGAGAGACAGACAGACAGCTCAGGCGGCTTCTCACAGCAGAGACAGCGAGAGCGAGGAGAAGAAGAAGAGAGAGAAAGGAGCGAGGGAGCTTCGGGTTGGGTTGTTGATATTTCTTGAGATGCAGCGAGAGAGCGAAATTTGAAGGTGTAACTAAATAGTCTCTGCGTGGTTGTCTCTTCTTCTTCTTGTTCGCAGCAAACGCACCAGCCACGCCCGCCGTCTACGCGCTCCCGCCGCCCGCCGCGGCCGCTCTTTATTACGCCCGCACGCCTCCTACGCTTTCTACTGCCTTCGTCTGCAACGCTCCCTTTTTCTATACTATTATATTTATATATTCTAGCATCGCAAAGCCTTTTTCCGCCCTTTTTTTTTTACTTTTTGGCTTCCCCCTTTTGGCCCTATCCACGTGACATGATTAGTCATCCATCTCTGTGACGTCGAAAAAAAAGCCAAAAAAGACGGCAAAAACAACGACAACGACAGAGCAAAAGACCAACTTGAGGGCGACGACGAGGGCGAGCGACAGCGACAGCGACGACGACGAAGAAGACGCTGTCGAGCTGCTTTCTGGCCCCTGCCGCGGCTGCTACTTATATATACGAACAGCTTCGGCTTCCCTCTTGCTGGCCGCGACGGCCGTGGCCTTGATTCCCCCCGATATGACGTAGCTGAGCCAGCCACCAACGACCGGCCGATATATACGACAACCAACATCACCAAACGGCGGACGACCTGCTGGGACTGTCGAGCGGGTGCTTGACGTGATATAGATACACGCGAGACGCGGCTGGCACGCTGCTCCGGCCCTGCGAGATACCGTCTGAAGGCCCCGGCGATGAGGTTCTCCTCCGCTACTGCACTGGCCGCCCTCGGCGGTATAGCCAGTCTCTCCCAGGCTGCGCTGACGGAGATCCACGAGGCTGGCCGGTGTGCTATTAGAGGCAACTGTGGGAAGCAGTCCTTCTTCGGCGGCGAGCTGCCGTGTCCGGACAATGGACTGGCCCATCAGCCTGACCAGAGAGTCCGGCAGCAGCTTGTAGAGCTCTGTGGGAAGAAGTGGGAGGACGGGCCGGTGTGCTGCAAGGAAGAGCAGGTGAGCACACTCTCTCTTCGTCTCTACCGCGTTGTTTGTGCTAACCGGCTCTAGATTAATGCATTGTCGACAAACTTGAAGCTCGCTGGGGGAGTCATCTCATCCTGCCCAGCTTGCAAGGAGAACTTCTTCAACCTGTTCTGCACCTTCACCTGTTCCCCGGATCAGTCTTTGTTCATCAACGTTACCAATGCGGCCGAGGTGAACGGAAAGCTGCTGGTCACCGAGCTGGACAATGTCTGGTCGGAAGAATACCAGAGCAACTTTTATGACAGCTGCAAGAATGTCAAGAACGGAGCTTCTGGCGGCAAGGCCATGGACTTTATTGGTGGAGGGGCGAAGAACTACATGCAGTTTCTTAAGTTCCTAGGTGATAAGAAGCTTCTCGGCAGCCCGTTCCAGATCAACTTCCTTACCGAGCCTCGACGGCCAAAGGACGGCCAGGGCATGAAGCCGGTGTCTGATGAAACAAGATCCTGTGCCGATAAGAATGAGGCCTACCGCTGTTCGTGTATCGACTGTCCCAGTGTCTGTGCAGAGCTTCCGGCCATAAAGGGAGAAAAACCCTGCAAGGTAGGAAGCTTGCCCTGCCTGACATTTGCTGCAATCCTAGTATACTCCATCTCCCTGATGCTTATCGTGGTCCTGGCAATTGCCCGATCTGCCTTCAAACGGCACCGTTCCCGAAACATACAGCGAGTTCGTCTTCTGCAGGACGATGCGCCGAGTGATGAGGAGGAGGAGGCCGAAGTTATTGAGGATACCCGGATCCCTCAGCCATACATGCTCAATCATGTACTAGGAAATGCCTTTAACCGGCTAGGTGGGATCTGTGCAAGGTTCCCGGCATTGACGATTACTTTGACGGTGATAATATCGCTACTACTCAGTCTTGGCTGGCTTCGTTTTGCAGTTGAAACTGACCCTGTCAGGCTATGGGTAAGCCCTAACTCGGCTGCCGCAGAGGAAAAGCACTACTTTGACTCCAATTTTGAACCTTTCTACCGTATCGAGCAGGTCTTTGTTGTCAAAGACGTTGAAGCCGACAAGCCAGAACCCGTGTTGGACTACGAAACCTTGGGCTGGTGGTTCGATGTAGAGAACCGTGTCCGCAGAATGATCTCTTTAAACAGACGCCTAACCTTGGACGACGTCTGTTTCAACCCAACCGGACGTGGTTGTGTTGTCCAGTCAGTTTCTGGCTATTTCGGGGGATCCTTCGCCAATGTCAATCCAAACACTTGGAGGTCCCATCTAGAACATTGTGCTCAATCCCCAGGCTCAAGAGACTGTCTTCCAGACTTCCAACAGCCTCTAGCGCCGGAGATGGTTCTGGGCGGGTTCAACGACACAGCCGATATCCTGGACGCGCGCTCCCTCATTATCACCTGGGTGGTCAACAATTACGAACAGGGATCAGACATGGAAGCACGAGCCATGGACTGGGAAGAGACGTTGAAGCAGGTTCTCCAGGTTGTGCAAGAGGAAGCCTATGAGCGCGGCCTCCGTATCTCATTCAGCACTGAGATATCCCTGGAGCAGGAATTGAACAAGTCGACCAACACTGATGCCCGAATCGTTGTCATCAGCTATGTCATCATGTTCATATACGCATCCCTTGCGCTAGGTTCTACAACCATCAGCTGGAAGTCCCTTATTCACAACCCTAGCCATGTTCTCGTCCAGTCGAAATTTACGCTTGGAATCGTCGGTATTCTTATTGTCTTGATGTCCGTTTCGGCATCTGTTGGCCTCTTCTCTGCGTTTGGCATCAAGGTCACCCTTATCATTGCTGAGGTGATACCCTTCCTAGTCCTTGCTGTGGGTGTAGATAATATCTTCCTCATAGTACATGAATTTGAACGAGTCAACCTAAGCCACCCAGACGAGGAGATTGACGAGCGCATTGCCCGAGCTCTTGGAAGGATTGGCCCGAGCATCCTCCTTTCAGCTACCACGGAGACCTTTGCCTTTGCACTGGGAGCCTTTGTGGGCATGCCAGCGGTAAAGAACTTTGCTGCATATGCAGCTGGCGCCGTGTTGATTAATGCTTTGTTGCAAGTCACCATGTTCGTCTCCATCCTGGCTCTTAATCAGAAACGTGTAGAAAACCTGCGGGTGGACTGCATACCTTGCATTGCTGTCCGAAAGTCTGGGAGCACTGGCATTGCCGGCGAGGATAGGCCAGATTTCGGTGAGAGCATCCTCCAGTGGTTTGTTCGCAAGATTTATGCCACTAGACTGCTTGGTAAGAATGTGAAGGTCGCGGTAGTAGTGCTCTTCCTGGGCCTGTTTACTGCTGGACTGGGCCTGATCCCCATGGTGAAGCTAGGGCTGGACCAGCGGATCGCCATTCCAAACGGCTCTTACTTGATACCATACTTTAACGACATGTCGAAGTACCTGCGTGTTGGTCCCCCAGTCTACTTTGTGACGAGAGATGTGAACATCACCACCAGAGAGCACCAGCAACAGGTCTGTGGCCGATTTACGACATGCGACGAATACTCTCTCGGTTTTGTCCTAGAGCAAGAGTCCAAACGATCAAATGTCTCGTACATCACAGGTGCAACGGCCAACTGGATGGATGACTTCTTCTACTGGCTCAATCCACAACAGGACTGCTGCAAGGAGAACGGCAAGACGTGTTTCGAAAACCGTCAGCCCAGCTGGAACATTTCTCTGTATGGAATGCCCGAGGGCGCTGAGTTCATCCACTATGCTGAGAAATGGCTCAAGTCACCCACAACCGAGAGCTGTCCACTTGGCGGCAAGGCTCCATACAGCAATGCTCTCGTCCTTGATTCCAACCGCATCATGACCAACGCAAGCAGCTTCCGGACATCTCATACTCCCCTGCGCACCCAGGCCGACTTCATCAACGCATATGCCTCTGCACGACGTATCGCCAACGACATCTCGACAAACCACGGCATTGACGTCTTCCCATATTCCAAGTTCTATATTTTCTTCGACCAGTACGCCTCCATCGTCAAGCTTACAGGCACTTTACTCGGGGCAGCAGTCGGCGTGATCTTCTTGATCACATCCGCCTTGCTTGGTTCCTTGTTCACCGGTGGAGTGGTGACGCTGACCGTAGTGATGATTGTGGTGGACATCATCGGTACCATGGCGGTGGTGGGCGTCTCCCTCAACGCCATCTCGCTCGTCAATCTGGTAATCTGCGTGGGCATCAGCGTCGAGTTCTGTGCTCACATAGCGCGCGCCTTTATGTTCCCTTCCGCCTCCCTGCTAGAGAAGGCTCCCCTGAAACTCCGCCACCGGTCCGCGAGATCCTGGGCTGCCTTGGTCAACGTCGGCGGCAGTGTCCTCAGTGGCATCACCATTACCAAGCTTGTGGGAATCTGTGTCCTGGC